CTCTACAAGTAGGATAATAAGGGGGATGAAGGATGGGGCCGGGCTGCAGAAAAGGGGGGGACACTTTACTCGTACTGTACTTTACCGTAAACGGCACTCTTCCTTTTATTAGTTAACTCCGTAAGAGGTCCTTTCTGGCTGGAGCATTCCTCGAAGGAGACACCCGACGTCCACAAAAGGGGTGCACTTTCTGCAGAGCGAGCGCTTTAGGTATAGTTGGCAGGCAAAAAAAAAGTGCACATAAAAACACACATGCGTGTGCAACACCGGACCCGGAGGGTTCTCTGGTCTTTTTGGTCAATTGAGGTGCTTGTGGGAGGGAGTAAGGAGAAGAGGAGAAAGGAAAAATTCCTCCATCCCGATCGTCATGATTTCCCCTGCGCGAGGGGGGGATCTAATTCTGCGCGGCTGCTTTAAGACGGAGAACACACCAACGGTGAGCGCTTCACCGCGTCAAGTTAGACGCGTGGGGGGACGGAGATTACCGGGGGAAATAAGCGAAAAGTGAGAAACGGGGAGGGGAGAATACCGGTACAAGTACAGCTTGTAAGGGATAAGGAAAACAGCCGCGCTTGTCGCTTCCTGCTACTGACTGCTCTAATATGATAAAGAAAGTCTGAAATGGGAGGATAGAAAAAAAATTGGGATCAAGCGACGATACGGTGCGGTATTGTATACCGGTATGCCATACGGGCTTGTTCTCCAAATCGAGACTCTTGATCCGCAACATGCCAGATCGCAATTCTATCCGCGCGACCAGAACGACAAAAGAGCGACCTTGCCATCGGGGTAATAAAGGCGCTGCCCACACACCGCGCTCAGCGTACCCACTGGCTTTCACATAAGCCCTCCCCCTACGGTAATCCCGATACCTTTTTTCCTACTACAGAGTGCTGTACGAGTACGTGGAAACGCCCTTTGTGAATCCGGCAGCTGGATGGAGCCTCCAACTTACCTTTCGATTATGCCGTACCGGTACCTGCTGCCGGCAGTCTCAATCGATTACCGTATTATTGTCTCGCCTGTCTATAGCAAAAAAAATTGCAGCTTCTTCCACCACCACTACCACCGCAACACCTTTGAATAAATTATATTCCAAAAGATACCGGTACGCACACATATGCGGTAGTGCACAGCGTGACGTTTTCGTATTGTTGCAATTCCGTCCGGGCATGGAATCAGGAAAAAAAAAACTTTTTCCAAACCCATGTCCGATCTTCGTCGCACACGAAATCGTGCGGATTCTCAAGCCCCAACCAATGTATGCAGGGAAGAGCGGGGTAAACGGAGCCTCAATCAAGATCCGGTCAGCGCTTCCGGGGCAATCATATTAAGATCCCGATTAGAAACAAAGTGTGGTTGTGAATGCGCAAACACTTGAGATACGCTTTTTTCTCTCCCTTCTCTCTTCTTTCTATGCTCTTTGGTTATTCCCTTTTCATTACTTGGATCGAGGTCCCCAGGATTGTTGATGTTGGCTTGTGTCTGAAGCTCATTGGAAAAGGAGGTATCATGTGCCGAGAACGTAAGTGGAGGGTCACGACGGAATTTACCGATATCACATAGGCGGGCATCGTGGGTATCTCCTTACCGGTACTAGTAACGGTACAATAAAGTACAGTACGCCGTTCATAAGAAGTATTCTACCCTAGAATGCGAAGAGGGAGAAGGAACGAAAGAGAGAGAAAAAGGGGTCGAATCCTGGCAGTTGTTGGGAGCGCGTTGAATCCGAAACGGAGATAGTTCCCCAGCTCGCTATCGATGCTATCATTGCTGATGGATGGGTGGAAGGGAGAAGGGAGGGAGTGAGATTTTTCTCCCTTTTCCTTCCCCTTCCCCTCTCCCGGCTCGTTGAAAATTCAACTTGCGTTGCGGGGGGGGGGGAAGAGACCACCTTTTGGTTGTGTGGTTGCTCCTGGCGCCATTGCCAATACGTAGCTTCCAACTGGTAGGCCACATACTCGAGTACTCTCCCTGCGCCAATACGATTCCTGAACGAGTTCAGTGTATCCCTTACTTTGGGCATCCGCGCCATATCAGCGGCTTAAAGCCTTGGCCTTGGTTCTCATGTGATGAGCGCAACTATCTGTTGTCGTTACCTACCGTAGACTTCTCCGAGGGTCTAATGTTACAGACTAGTTGTATATCGTTCACGAGGGTGTCTCTTTTGCATATGATTCTTATGTCGAGTGATACTTGGAGAATCGGGATTACAATGGAGCAAATCATCTTCCTAGATCGGGAAAGACTCTGAGAATTGGCCTATCATTTTAATGGGAAAAAAGCCTCAAAAAAAAAAACGAGGAAGCTTGGGCCATGTCTTTTTCCTTTTCTTTTCGGTGCGGGGTTATGAACGGTCAGCAATATATTTATGCATCTAAGATTGGGGAATAGGGATGCATAATGGTCGGTGCAATTCCTTTTGAATGGGGGTTCGCGTTTTACGCCCGGTGCGTAATGCAACGTCAGAAAGGCTGGTAGGGGGAAGCATAGCTTCCTCGTGGAGTGAGATGGATAACTCCGTGGTGCATTCCCGGTGCTGACCGGTAACGCCATCAATGGAGCAACGATTAATAGGTTTTAAATGCCGGGCTGACATTGGCCACCAGTGTGAAACATCTACCCCGGGGGGCCCTACGGATAAAAGACCACGTCAGGGGTTGCCGAGGGTTGAAAGTGAATCATCCATTCCCTCCCGGCTGTGATAGGGATGCTCCAGGGATTTTTTGGGAAAATAAGCAATGAGATATCAATTCCATGCAGTCTCTACCTTGACTTTAGGATTCCACATAGACTTAGCTTACCCGAGCCGCTTGAAAGAGAGTTTCAATACCTCACTCCAACGAGTGACAGTCCATGAACCCTATTGCGGTGGTATAGTCTCCATTTGCTTGATCTGAAAAAGGTGAGCTGAGGCCCATGTTGCGAATCCCTGGATCTATGGCTTCCCCTTTGTGGATTGGTTGTGAATTTCTCACCTTTTTTAATAGGGAACAACCGCACATCGATTAGCTAGACGAGTGCTGGCATAGCTGTCCACACGACTATTTCCTGACCTGCTAGACTGGTTATGTAGTTGGCAAGCTGTGCGACCCTGCTCGGCGCGAGCGTTTTGCCAACAGTCTGGGATGGGCGAATGGGAAGAAAGAGGGGGTTCAGATCCTCTCTTCTGATTTCCTAGGTTGGTGCCTATCCTAGGTGCATAATTTGAGCACCGACAGATATTAATGACCTATTTTCTGAGAAGGGGTGTTGACCAACTGGCGGTGCATTTGGTTGCAAGGGGATCGGAGATTGCGTGACCTTTAGTGAACTAGTCCTCCTGACGATGCACGCGGCAGACTCCCAATCCTACGCCGACAGTTAATTTTACCCCACTCGCGGAGCACCTATCACTCGATCCAGGCGCTCGGTGGCTATTGGCTCCGTAGCCTTAGGCTGCATCGGGCTTTGGTCTCAGGAATACTCATGTGCCAAAATCGAACACCTCTAAATCACTAGCGGTGCAACTTTGACTCTCATCCGCTGCTCGTGGGATTTCTCATCGGTCGGCATAGGTTAAATCTAGCGCAGAGCGGTCAAGGGTCATATTATGTCACTCGACCCACGCGGTCCATAGTTGACCTTGTTGGAATCCTTGTGTAATTGCGGGGGGATATTAAATAGGGTAGGTCATTAAAAGACGCCTAGTGTCCTCTATGAGCTCGCCACCGCAATTGGGTGTGATTGCACCTGCACTTGGTGCTTTGAAATCTTGCCCTAAACTTTGCTTCTTTGTATGCTTTTGGAGGAAGTGCTCGCGGCAGGCCCACGAATCGCATGATTGTTCGAGAAATTTATCGATAAAGTGGTCGTAACCGGACATGCAGCGAATGCTACTCAGGTCCAAAAGCTGGAGTGCTCGTAGTGGCATCATGCTGCTTGTCGCTCGTCCGTCTTGGACGTTTCATTTCTTGGAATTGCCCAACAAGCGCTGACATCCCCCTTTAAAGTAACCAATCCCTCGCGGTAGTTTTTTTTTCTGGTAGGCCCCGACACCCTGTAGGAATGTATATAGTACATATCATACCGACCACAGTGATAGGAGGCATTTAGAGAGGAAAAAGCAAGTCCAAAAATTGTTCGCCCTCTATATAGTCTTTACTGGGCGGGGACGGACGATTTCGAATGGCCCAGGTCGGAGGAGCGCTGCAGTTGATAATGCCACACCTGGGTGTTTTTGAAGGGTTGCTCTCTATGTGCCAGGCCCTACCGTGCTGTAGGCTAGCAAAGCTAAGGCAAAGTCTTTGTCTAGGGCGGGGCACCTGATCGCTCTTTCGGGCCGAAGGGTTCGCTGGGTCATTGGGCCCTGCCAACACGTAATTGGGCGGGACGAATCCAGCTCCTTCCGGGTTGATGCTAGTCAGAACGAACACGCCATCAAGAGTACGAGTGATAGAGTGTGATACACGGCATGCTCCGGAATTGATTTCTGGAGTGCCGCGGATTCGTGATCGCGGATTATAGTCGGGTGGCAATAATTGGAAAATTTCACCTCGGCGAGGTAGCGACGGGTAATATAGGGTCCGGTTATTGAGTGCTCACAACTCAGTTAAGGAGGACCGTGAGACGTAAAATTTTAACCCGGACACGGAAACAGAGAGTGTGCCCAAGGGCTGCAATATAGTCTAGATAAGCTCAAGCACCCGTAATTACCAGTGCGTTTGTTTTTGAGGCGGTTCGGTCAGATTAATCAGTACCGCGATCCAGAACGTTGCCAGGATCAAGCACAGCTCGGATGTGGTACATTGCTGCTGGTGGGTTCTAACTTGACCAGGGCTCACGGCAATTCCCACCACTTCTGGCGAGATAATCCTTCCTTTCCTTTCTCATCATGATCTCCCTTTCACATGGTTTAAAGGATTATTGAACTTTATGCTAGAGCACCGCCATCCGCGTAGATAGCTCGAGATATAGGGTACTCCAGTATAATGTTCTTATGCACCATAAGCACACACAGCCTTTCTGTATACCGGGGTTGACTACCCGGGTGGCTCCAGGGGGCCTTTGTTTCTGTTGCTAATCATAGCTCTTAGGGAAAAAAACAAACAAATGCCGGTATCTGTGGTAAAAACGGTCTGCGAAACATTCAGCAAAAAATTTATGCTAATATTTATGGAAGGGTTCTACCCCCAAGATATCCACCAAAGGGACTTAGAGGCTAATTAACGGCAGATTTGGTTATGGGTCTCATCGTAACGATCACCACCGAAACCTAGTACTGTATACCACATGGAAACTTAAACCCAATCACACCCAACAATCGCCATCCTGGTCGTACCCAATCAACTTCAGATCAATCCCCAAAGCTTTCAGCATTACCCCCATCGTAAACTCCTATCATGATAAGTTATTCATCGCGACGAGATAAGGAACACAAAGAGGGCATTGTATACCTCATCTTCTTCACCACCTTTTTCATAAGCGGTCTGTTTTTCTTCATCATCCCAACCCCTCTTCCTAACTAATTCCTTCCAGCCTCCAGGGCCAGCGTTCGCTGCTCTTTGACTAGTTATCTCATATAACGCGTCTGCTGCACTCCTGGCTGCCGCCCTCCACTTCTCTATCGACGCCCGTAATTTCTCTTCACCGTGCCCGCCGGCCGCAGTCTCGATGTTCAGAGCCTGTTTTGCAGTGTCCAGCAAGGCCTTCTTCTCCCGCAATCTTGCCTCTAAGGCTGACTGCTGCCTATACAACTTCGTTAACTCAGGATTTTGAGTGGTCGAGGAAGCTTGTCTGGTGGTGCTTGGACGACGACGATCTGTAGATATCGGAGTATTTGTAACAGGAGAGGTAGGTGAACCTGCTGACGAAGCAACAGATTTCGTGGGAGAAGGAGTTGTAGCAGTCGAGCGAGGTTTAGAGAGCAGAGGTGAGCGGAAAGGTTTTGATAGTGTGTTTGTTGCGACGCTAAGCCGGCGGCGCTTCGCCTCCCGAACATCTGAAGCTGTAGGGACTTTTGGTATAGTAGAGGTGCCCGGCATAGGGGATTTTTCCGGAGAACCAGGCATATGGAGATGAGTTGTCAAGCTGATTGTTGAACTAGCGTGTTGAGGCGTTTGCTCGAGTTTCTGCTCGGGGAGTGACGAAGGACCAAAGCCAAGAATTCCTTATCGATAAGGATAAGACAGAAAGTCTTGGCGCCATATCTCCAGGGCAAGTGACCTACATGCCCATGGGCAATCTTGTATTGGGGTTACCCGGCCCCGCCATTAAACCACCGTTTTCTCATCCGAAATCTCCGATTTACCAGAGGATAGGTCACCCGAGACAAGTACTGGGTAAGGCAGTGTCACATCCCGGGGGACACTGATAGCCGGAGTTGAATGAGTTAAAAGCTACTGAAGCTCTTTCTGTTTATGAGCAAGGAGCCCTAGGGCCGAAAGCTTTTTGCCTTCGAAATTTTTCAATGCAAAAAGTTCTGGTCAGCGATCAGCCCGAATGTGTCGAGTGTCGGGCACCACTAGTACGGGGAAACCGTTCAGTGGTCGAGCATAGCGCCTCAGGCTAGCGCTAACTCTTAGAGACCCTAGAGGTTAGGTACTTTGGAGCGTGGGGGGGCTTTATGACGGCTTTTTAGATTACCTTTTACTAGTATCTACCTTCCGGTACGGAACTGGGAGGAGGTTGAAGAAGCGCCCATCACGCCCCGGGGCATATGGGCCCCAGAGCAGATGGCTTGCTATGGGTAATGGTGCTCTGTCTCCAAGCTTCACCGGAACTAAGAAGGGTGGGAGATGTCGGTCCACTCTGGGTTGCCCCGTAGGATATCGCGGCAATATTTCTAACCCCGAGACTGATAATGTAAGGAATTAGTTGAATCCAGTGTTGTACATTCTTGTCCAATTATTTCATTCCACTTTCAACAATCCCCCCTCTCTGCGGGTTCCGCCATTACAGCGCTAGATCAAAACATTTCGCCCTATGACCTTTTTCCACCAAAAGCATCCATCTCTATCACCACTCAGGCAACATCAATTCCTACGAGAATCTACCAAAATTCCAAGTCACCTTATCAAGCCCATCGATAACACATAAAACCTTATAGAAAACCGCAGAGGGAGTGGTGGCCATATGGATGACTAGTATCATATAATACCTTGCCCTCGGGAACCCTAGGCAGAACTTCAAGTCAAATTCACAGGTGATACAACTGCAAACTGTGAGCTCAACCTCAACTTATTGGTATTTGCACTACCATGGGGACTAGCCTAAAACAAAGAAGAACAGGCGATCGTCTCTCCGAAAATGCCGATTTTTCGCAAAATTTGGTGCCAAAATCCATGTCCGACGAAACATTTTGGGCGCCTAAATGTATGCTGCACTATGCACAACGATGTCTATCGTATTTGAAAAGCCTTTGGAGTTACGACTCCAGAATCTAGGACTAAGGTGGGTGACTTCCTGCAAGCAGGAATATCCAAAATTCAAAAACTCAGTCATCAACAATACCCCAAGTATGGCACTTTCAACTTTTATTGATATGACTGACAATTCCCCAGAATCCGGAGGGAACTGTCATTCGTGCAACCTCTACAGGTAGTTTTCTTGTGAAAAGATATAGCCTGCTGCTGCTGAAATTCGGAACGCCTAGGGGTAGGTAAATTTGCAATCATAGATGATCACCCGCCACACGATTCCCTTCCATCAGGAAATGTTGGGAGAGAAGGGAGTACTTTACAGAATTAGGAGTGCGGGGTCAGAAGATGACATGATGGATTCTATACCCGGGCCTCTGTATCGGATAGTTCGCGGAAGTCTGTGGATGGAGGTCGAGGGTAGGGATTATGCATAGATTCCAGCATATACCGGTGGTACTTGTAGAAGGACTCACGGCTACTGGGTGCTTTCTACTTATTCTGTCCGACTTTACTTTTCTCTTGACTTTTTTTATAAGAGAACTTCACCTTTGATACCAATAAAATAACTTGAATCGAGCACTTTTCTCCCGACCTTGCATCGATAAATACCAGCTCGAGTAGAACGTGGGTGACCAGAGCACATCACAGCTTGACCCCACACTGGCAAGCTCTCTAGGGCATTTAACCCAGCCGACAACTTTAAGCCATGCAATTTTTCCAATCCTTCATTTCCGCATGGCCGAGTGTCTAGACGAAAAGCTCGCGCAGAGCAGTTCCTTTTTCCCCACACTAACTTCTGGCTCACGGGGACCAAACCTAATCCTGTCATTTAAGGCATCACCATCCGTGCTTAAGAATGGAACCCGATACCCTCACAAAAACGGAACCGGCTACTGGTTCCCGGATCCTCCCGGCGATCTATGATACTTACTACCTTATCCACCACCGTTGGAGATCCGAAAATCGAACCATGCACGTTCTGGAACCCCCTCGATGTATATAACGCGGGGAAACTAAAATCCTAGAGAGACCCCACTCGAGACCTCGAGCGCCGGTACTCGCTCCCTTGGGCATTAGCTCACAGTAGCGTTTTGCTGACTGTAACTTAGCGATTTCGCCCATCCAGGGGCTTTGAATGCAGATATTCCTTTCCCCCTTATCTGCGTTTCCCCAGCCTTTCCAAGGTTGCTGCGTTTTTGCCTGCCGGTGGGGACCCTCTCTCTCCCCGCAGGTCAGGATATATGATATCGTGCTGTAGGAATAGGGAAGCGTCCTTATTACACGATCCAGGCGTCAAATTATTTCCCAGAGTATAGTATAACCCGTGTTATGATAATACGATTGAGTTCTAAGGTGGGGCGGTGGCTTCCTCTCTCCGTAGCAGAGCTTGCCCATGCGATTCAACGATACGCATCCCCAGATAATGTGTATATCGCATAGGAAGCCCTTTTCGTATCATAGTTTCCACCAAGTCGGAGATATTTGCTGACCCTATCTTTGCGCTTTTCCCCTCCCATTTCTCTTTCCCATTCTGCTCGGCCTTCCGGGTCTGCTATATCGTTGTGGGGTTGGAGGGGGTAGGGTAGAAGGAGGAATGGAGCCCATCAGATCCGATTATTATATCATAAATCTGTTACGATAGATCAGGTTCTCATGTTCCAGAGCATAATAGAGGAGATATCATACCTGAATTGTTAGGGTCCCGTTCTGGGCATTGTGCCCGATTTTAAAATCGGGGTCACGAGTTTATTATTGCAGATAGGCTATCCAGGAATGGCTCAATGAGCCAATCCATACCAATGGCTTTCTCTTACAGGAAAAAGGGTTCTCCGTATCCTCCCACGATAACTGTAGCATAGGTTACAGCCCAACGAGTAGTATTTATAAGAAAGCATCACAAAATGTCACTCGTGCGGTCTGTCGCACCGCACGAGGAAATGTGAGTGTCACAAAGTTAAAACCGCCGCACAGATGATATATATATATATACATGTCATGGCTGCACTTAAGTCGTCGGATCAAAGTTGCCTTCCTCTTGTTACGTTACGACTAAAAAAATAACACCAAGCCGGCGACCTGAGCACAGTACTTATCTACCAATTCCGAGAATATTCATGTCCACCAAACCAACCCACCTCAAACAAAGTAAACAAGAAAAGAGCCAGTAATGAAACTAAACCGACGGTACTCCACCAGACTGTCCTTCCGTTGAGAAAACGAAGGAAGAAAAAAAAAAGCTGTACAAGGAGGCCTCCCGAACAAAAGGGGGGAAAAAAGGGAGAAGAATTCCTGCCCCAGCCCAATCCAACCCATTCAAGCGATTTAGCCGCCCCTGAGTTCGCTACTTTACATTAATGGCCCGCACGGCAACCCCACGCTTCAGCTTGAAAGTTCCCCCTCGCCGTACAGAAAAGAAAGTAAGTTATAGCAATTTAAGGTAGCCAAAACGCTCTAACCCGAGCTCATAACCCTACATTAATCCTCTTCTGCAACCCCTTCTTTCTCCTTCTCTATTAGTACCTCCAAGCCGCCAAACACAGAACCCTTAGGCAAGCGCGTAAGACCCTCTTCGAAGACAGGACCGATGGCGTCCATCCACTTCTTCCGGCGCTCCATGAGGGTTCTTGCTGCCTCACCGATACCGACACGAGCTTGAGCGACGCCAACACCATTGGGTACCACCTTCTTTTTCTTGGTAGCCTTCATGTTGCGAGTGCGTTTCGAGTAAGCTTGCTCGACCTGTTGTGGAGTGAGTTCGATTCGTCAGCCAACGCGCCTCCTGAAATGCAGAGCCGGGATAGAATGAAAGGGGAGGAGCGTTTTGTCTCTCTAATCTAGGGCAAGTCTTGAGCAATAACAAACTTGTCGGATTGCTCGGAGAAGATATTGGTACCACGGGAATACCCGAAAGAAATTAGGGGATTTTTTCATGGGGCTTGGGGGGGATGGGTTCTGTTTGACCTGCTTGTCTAGATCATCAAGGATAGTAGCATATTCTTGATGCGCCAACACTTCCTTCAGGATTTCTGCAATACGGGCCTTCCGTGCCCCGTTTAACGCGGCCTGTTCACGGAGTTGAGCCTGTAGCATGCGCAGACGGGCCGAGACATCATCATCTTCCCGGGACTTCCAGTCCGGTTCAGTGTTAGGGCCGAGAAGCCCTATGTAGGCCATTTCGCGTTGGATCCGCTCCTCCAGTGTCTGATAGTCAGACCTACCGACAGGCACCTTCCAGCCAGGTTGTGTCGATTCTGGCATCGTTGACGCAGTAACTACCTGTGGAGTTGGTTCCCCGTTGGCCTGAGTTTGCGATGATGACGAGGCATCGCCGTCCCCCATTGACGCATCTAGGTTGAGTTCCTCTGGAATAATGGCTGCTATGACCCTCGATAGTAAGGGGCCGCAAGAGAGAAGGTCATCCTTCTCCAATACATCATCTGTAAGATTATCCGGGTTTCCTTTTGGGACATTGGGGTTCCTAGGCCCGTTAGTGGACGCTAATGGGGATGGGAAGCCATTATCCTCGGCAGCCCATGCCTCTGCATAAGGAACTCCCAAGGCAGGAATGATATAAGGTGTTGACCGATTACCCCTCTCCCGCAAAAATCCCAGATCCTCTTCAGAAAATGGTCTAAAATAGGGCTCTATAAAGGTGTTAAAAGTGTTCATGGCAACTTGGTTAAAGGGCTTCGGGTTTGAAAAGTCTGCATCTGGAGGGTCGCCAGGCCCAAGGTCCGTTAAGTCTACCTCGGGGAACCTTGTAACCGAATAAGCACTCGCTTTCTCTTCGTATGTGGATTCATCCGTAACCGCGGGAATTTCATATACAGTTGGATCATTCTCAAGTGTCTCTAGTACGGAAAAAGGCGCTGCGGGTACAGGCTGATGCTCCTCTGAACTTCGAATCCGCGAAGGGGAGGTACTGGACTTAGTCGGCCTCTCATCTGGAGGGCTCTCTGCCTTGCGTTTCTTTATCTTATCACCTAAGAGGCACAAGTCAGTAACTTCCTCTACGGACCGAAGGGTTCAACAGGTAAACGGGCCGCAAAGATTTGCGGACCTTTCACAACTGCCTCCGGGCCTTGAGTTGTCACTTGATGGGCACCAACGGCCGGTGGCCTCTTGCTGTCCGAGTCCCTCTCACCCTTATCTTTTTTTTTCCTATCCCTCTCTGCCTTAAGCTTATCCCGTTCCTTGCGTTCCTCATCCTCAACTGCCTTCTTCCGCTTTTCTTCCTGTTCGATTTGTGCCTGGCGCTCTTTCTCTTCAATCTTTCTAACTTCGACTCTCGAAGTTAGTTCTCTTAGACTCTTCTCACAAGATTTGCTCCTCCGCTCCGCATTCTTGCCGAGCGATAGCAAATCCGATTTTAGCGAGGATAGGTTGCCTGACGTAGGGATAGACGAAGTATCTGTTGTCAGGCCATTTGTATATTTCTCGAGTATGTCTTCATAATTTGCGCGAACAGTCGGTATCGGCTCGGAAGAAAGGTGGGTCGTCTCCGAAAAGGCGCTGGTAGAGGCTGGAGTTGTGTTCCTACTCCTGGAGCGACGCTGCGAATTTCCAGCACCACCGGGTCCGTTAGCCCGGGTCTTGCCCTTGCCCTTTCCACCTTTTCCCGACATTACTATACGCTTTCAGTAGCGACACCTCCTCCGCAATGTCAGAAGGAGCGATGAGCGAGGGATGGAATCTGGTAGCAACGAGGGGCGCGTGGAGAGTTGGACAGCAACGAGTTTGTTTAAGCGGAGGTGCCCAAACTTTGTTGGTGTTTATTTTTTTGGCGTTAGAGGTGAAAAGCTGAGGGAAGCGATGAGTGAAGTAGGGGGTGTGGAATGGGGGGCAGGATGGGGGGAAGGTTTAGGCAGAGAGGCGAATGAAGCAGTAAGTTAATTAGTTTTTGAGCGGAGCTTCTGCTTCTGTGTTTGCGGATTTTAGCGATGGATTTGGGTGTTACAGTATTGTATGCAGGCTCGGTTGCAGATGCCAAGCCCAAACAATGCCAAGTGCCAGAGACTGGCAACAATAAAACGGGAATATCAATCATCAAAACAAGGGCATTGTCCCCCCGGCACGATTTTCACACCGAAACTTTCCCAATGGAAGCAAAGTGGAAAAAATAATTAAAAGATATTTCCCTTCACCTTCGGCCCGTATTGCTAACGATCCAACAACCACTCCACCAACACTCGACGCCATCGCCGTCTCACGTCAATCTCCCCTCCCCGACACGAGAATCGCCAAATAATGACCTTCCTAATTCTTACTGAGACCAGTGCTGGTTATGCCCTCTTCAAAGCGAAGGACAAGAAACTGCTCAAGAAAGATGACCTGGCTAAAGAGATGAGAACCCCCGAGGGTGCTGCTAGTTTGTAACTCCCCTAGCCCCTAATAACTTTATTTCAATGTTCGACCGAAGCTTCTAACCAAAGTTCTCTAGACTGAGATTGAAGCAATTCGCAAAATTCGACAGTGCTGCTGCGGCTTTGGAGGAGGTATCATGCATTGTGGAGAATAAAGTCTCGCCTATGCTCTCCGGTCTGTTAAACTCGGTCAAGGATGAAAAAAAGGCATCTCTCGTTGTTGCTGATCCAAAATTGGGTATGTTTTGTGCTCCAACCGCTGCCCAACTTTTGAAAGTATGAGGGCAACGCTGCTGACCGCAATGGTGGGACATAGGAAATGCCATCAACAAAATTTCTGGATTGTCGTTTCAAATAATATCGGACTCCTCTACCAATGACCTATATCGTGCAATACGCGAGCATCTTACGGCGCTGATCCCAGGCTTGACTCCTAACGATGTTTCTACCATGTCATTAGGTCTATCACATTCCCTGTCACGGCACAAGCTCAAGTTCAGTCCTGACAAAGTCGATACCATGATCGTGCAAGCAATCGCACTTCTCGATGACCTTGACAAGGAGCTTAACATTTACGCTATGCGCGTCAAGGAGTGGTACGGATGGCATTTCCCTGAGATGGGTAAGATCATCAACGATAACCTTGCCTATGCCAAAGTTATCAAGGCTATGGGCATGAGAACTTCCGCCGCTACAACAGATCTTGCGGAAATCCTTCCCGAGGAGATCGAAACTGCCCTCAAGGCAGCAGCGGAAGTTTCAATGGGGACCGAAATCACAGTTGAGGATCTCAACAATATCACACTGCTCGCAGACCAGGTTATTTCATTTACAGAATACAGGCAACAGCTTTCCTCCTACCTCTCTGCCCGTATGACTGCCATTGCTCCCAACCTCACGGTCCTAGTTGGTGAACTTGTCGGCGCCCGCCTCATTGCCCATGCGGGTTCTCTCATGAATCTTGCCAAGTCTCCTGCTTCAACCGTCCAAATTCTCGGCGCTGAAAAGGCCCTTTTCAGGGCTCTCAAGACCAAACACGATACTCCCAAGTACGGATTGATTTACCACGCATCCCTTATTGGACAATCAACTGGAAAGAATAAGGGGAAAATTGCCCGCATGCTTGCTACCAAGACGGCCCTCGGTTTGAGAGTTGACGCTCTGACCGACGATAAGGATGAATCAGCGGCTTTGGGGTTGGAAATGAGGGCCAAGGTTGAGAACAGGGTTCGAAAACTTGAGGGCAAGCCGGCCGCCCCCCGGGGCAATGCCAACATCGCACCCATCATCGGCCCGAGGGCACCCGGGAAGTGGGAGATAAAGGAGGCTAAAAAGTACAACCCCGACGCCGACGCCGTCACGGAGGATGCACCGGCGGCTGTTCAAGCGGTAGCCGAGGCCGCTGCAAAGGCTATCGACCAAGATATTGCTATGGGCAGTGACGATGAAGAATCATCTGAGGAGGGTGGGGAGGCGGAGAAGACCAAGAAGGGGAAGAACGCTCCCGTTATTCCCACATCCAAGGATGACAAGGAGGGGGAAAGTGATGGGGACGGCGACGGAGGGGAGGAAGCAAAGAAGAAGGCTGAGAAGAAAGCCAAGAAAGAAGCTAAAAGATCCAAGTCGTCTAGCAAAAAGAGACGAAAGAGCGAAGCCGCTGAGGAGGACGGGGACAAGAAGAGCAGGAAAGAGAGCAAGAAAGGCGAGAAGAAGAAGAGGAGAAAGTATGAAGCGTAGCCGTTCTATTTGCGCGATTGGAATGGGACGAGGCAAACTCACCCTTGTAGTATAGTATACTCGACGGATCTCGAAAGCCATCTCTGTTTCTTCTGTCATTCTGGCCGTTGGATGTTATGTCGTCTTTGCCTGTATTTTCTTTATATCTTCTTTCTCTATTCCACCTTTGCTCACACGATGATTTCGGGTGGAAGGGGATCTGTATCTTACTCCGCGCCTGCACTAAAAGTTATTTTGTGGTCTACTCTGCCTACCGTGGGCGGATATAGAGTAATTCGATTGAGTGCATGGGGCAGTTTAGCGGTGTGAATACAAGTACTACAAGACATATCGCTGTTGAATCCAAGCCTTCTGTGGGTCACAAAGGGAATTCCCCTGCACTGAGGATCAAGTTACTGCGTTGTCGCTGCGCCAATCCCTCCCGGATCCAACCCCAATGTTGTGGATTGAGTGAGCTCCCGTGATGGAAATCTTTGCCCACTGGAATCAAGAATGTGGCCCCAGGTATGGCGACCAGTGGCAGCACGGCAATTACTCCCCTCTGGCAGCCTTGGCGATAGGACAATTATGCTACAATAGCAGCGGTGGCTCGGGATCGGGCATCCCTGGGAGCCGGTGTCCCTAGCAGTGTTGAGAGATTACGAGAAGTAACTTGATTGCGATTCTTACATGGAACTTGAAGGTGGGTGAAGCGGTTGTTCGTGCGAAGGCGAAGGTCGGAGCGTACCCCAATTTTGGCGAGTACCGTACGTACAGTACAGTACCAATCACCAGGTTCCTTGATAAATTAAATTTCTAAATAAAGCTTTCAACCGAAGACCCATGAGCTCCTCTGTTCCCATGTTCTACCACCCCTGGCAGCACGCCCAGAACATCTTATTAGAGCACTTTGAGCTCAATCGAAAGCATCACAGTTATAGAAACACCACACCTCTCCATGATATCTATTCACCCTATCACCGCCGCTGGGCAGCGCAATTTGGAACAGGGGAAGAACCAAGCACGATGGGGTACTGGTACAAGTATAATACCGGTAACCAATTTGCGGGGAGCGGTACGAGTACAAACACCGGTACGGTGCTCTGCCTGTATAGTAGTGAGATGCTATGCTACCGGCAAACCGGTATCACAAGCCTGGGTTTGATGACATATCGAGCTGATGCTGTTGACGAGGGCAGAAATACCGTACTGGACGAAAGGCTGCACGTGAGCGGATACACGGCTTTCCCTACTCGTTAAGGCTGCCGGTGTCGGCACAGCAGATTCCTCCCAGCGTGGGCTCAATAGAGACTTTGCGATTTCGCATCCAGAGTCAAATTCTAGCGATCTCATTGGTCCACAACCCTGTTTGACCCACATCCAGAGTCTTTTCGCAAAGTCCCTAATAGCGGTACTCGAGTGCTGTACGGTAGCGGTCCCTCTGTTCGCGACCCCATCCTCAGATGCCCACCGAGCAATAAATTAATAATCCGCCAATTCAATCCCCATACCACGACACTTGGCAATTTCGAATTTCGCCCCCTCTTGGTATGGTACCTGTATCACACTGTCAACCTCCAAGACACTCCCGCCCAGAAATAAGGGTTTTCAAGCCGTGAGAGCCGAAGGAGGAGAAGAAGAGGGAGGAAAGAAGGAGGAAGAGAAGATAAATCGGGGGACTGAACAAAACCCATCCGATATCCATTCCTCATTTCCTCGCTTGGCCTTATTTTCCTCGCTGTCATCCTTCTTCCTCTCACCCCCCCATCTCTCACCCCCTTCCACCCTTCATTAGACTACTGCATTGCAATTCTTAAGGTATCGTATGGTGCTGTACGAGTACTAGTACAGGCTTGTACCTGTTTGTGTATAATATCGATAGGGTATTCCATAACACTGCCGGTACCAAGTTTGGCCGGGGTTTGGTATTCTCTCTCACACCCCAGCTTACCTCTCCATATCGGCAAACAACAACAGCAGCGACAGCACTCTACTATATCTTTGTTCATCATTCTCATTCATCTCCTCCTTTTTCTTTCTATCTCTCATTATTGCCTCTGATATCATCCTCGAATATACATACGCCAGCGGATATCGCTGTATTCAGCCCCACCAGCCCTCCCGCCCTACCGACTGATTCCACCGCCACCGCTACCACCACCACAATCACAACCCGTCGATCTAGAAGACGAGGGCTCGCGGGGAGCCGCCGCTAGCAATACAGACCATATGTGTAGGTCGTTTCTGTCTACCGTTTCACTTCCTCCCTCCAGCCAACTAAAATTTGCTTATATTTTCCTTTAGCTGCGCATAGCCTCTACGCGTCTGTGCTTATCCTCCCCAATCCCCAATTATCGAGCCCGGAACACCTTGCTCAAGTGCCACGAGTGAAGGTAGGTCGTTCGACACCGAGCATCTAAGTCTTGGCTCTCATTATCCCCACCCCCTCTGACGTTGTCCGACCTCCACAGAAAAACATCACTTTCGCTATCGATATCTCTACCAATATCCGAACCCTTCACACGGGCGTCGCCTCGCGGGGTGATGATATCTCCGGCTTGCTCTATGTGCCCATGGTAAACGAGACTGCAGCATGCCACGGTATCTCCTCTGTCCCTGCCAACGTTACGCACAAGGATGACCTCCCGGATGCCATCTACGATTTGATTGCCCTCGCGCCATGGGTAACGAGAAATTGCAGTACCAGATATTTGAAGGCCGCTCAGGTTGATGCAAGTGTTGTCAAAGGATTTATATTTTATCTCGACGATAGGGCTGCGAAGATTCCCGAGGCGAAGGATCCCTATTGGGACGGTGTTCCATACGATAGTTTCGAGTTCCCAATATATGCCATCCCCGGGGGAGATGGTATACCCTTGTTGGAAAAGGTTGCCGAGTATTCCGGGAATATGTCCGAGGTTTGGGAAGCCCGGAATCTAACGTCCTACTATGATCCGAGGGACTTTGCTAGGGTTTATATGGAGGTGGATACGGGTATGTGCGCCTGGGGTGCTGCATTGGCATGTACTTATGTTGTTTCACTATAGGCCATCGGAATCCGTTACCGGGGCTCTGGCTGTTCCTATTGATAGTTCTCGGCGTGCTTCTGGGCATTGTGGGACTGACGTCCTTTAGCATGCATATGCTTCAATACCGGCATCTGCAGGGACTTCGCCGTCGAGTTGCAAACGGACAGGTCGATCTCGAAGCATTAGGCATAAAGCGACTCTCTGTCCCACGAAGAATTCTCGAAAAGTTCCCAATTCGAATATATGTTCCCGAACCGACATCTCCTACTGCTCCTGCACCCACCCATTCCTCGCCGCTAACTCCCCGACCTATACGACCCGTCTCCAATCCCCCGAGAACGCCCCCGCCCGTTAGATATTTTGCGCCTCCCTCTCCACCTTTACCACCTTCACCTGCGCCTGTGAGACGACGTCAGAGCCAGGACCGGCGGAATTACTCTGCGTATGATACAACTCTCCAACGCGGCTATTCTCAGTCACAATGCTCTATCTGCTTGGACGACTTTATTCCGCATTCCACGGCTGTCCGTGAATTACCCTGTCTTCATGTCTTCCATCCCGGTTGCATCGACCCATTTCTCGAAACCCAATCCTCTCTGTGCCCACTATGCAAGGTTTCAGCGTTACCCAGAGGCTATGTCCCGCCTCAACTGACCAATGCTACGGCGCGACGGGAACGGAATCTTCGGCGGATGCGGGCTCGGGTGGATGCCGGCGGTGGCGGTTTGTCTCGGTGGGCCAGATTTAGGTTCCTCATAAGTTCAAGTCAGTATGAAGAGGAAGAGCGTGATCTCCGAAATATTGCAAGAATGGCGGTAGCACGAAACAGTCCGATGACCGAAATGGGTGAATATAGTGGAAGATCGAGCCGATTGCCTGACGGGCCGAGGGAGTCCCATGTTAATAATGAGCAAGCGGAGGAGAATAACCGTTCCGGGTGTATGTTTTCGATTCAACTTCGTGAGCTTGGTGATGCTGACATTCAGTAGGGAGAAAAGCTATGGGGACATTGTTTCCTGGCTTTAAGTAGCGCACTGCTACACTAATATCATACTTAAATATTGATCTTTCTTTCGGTAAAAGGGGGTGTCACATTCTGTCATTTGAATTCCTATTACTATACCATTGGATAACGAGTGGGTCGCTCTTTGGCGCATGAATTGTTTCTTAAAATATCTCTGGGGTGGGTTGAGTGCATGGGAATTCTGGCGTTTTTTTGTTTTCCATTGTCCATTTTTTTCTTTTCTTTACACGTCTGGCGGATGGGGTTGAATTTGCATGAATTTGGCTGGCGGTCGATCGGGAATGGTGTTCATGTCACTAGGCAATATACCACGATGGAATTTGTATCCGGGCTAAGATAACGCAGCACTTGTGGCCCCCTCCCCCCCCCCATGTCATGCCTCTCCCCCAACCAACTAGCCGTTGCGGCCCAGACCTCTCCTTACTCCCCGCCAATGGACATTGGCACCACCCCTCACTATCACATCCGTGGACCGGGTATACAAGGCGATGGATCACGTTATACCCGAGTATAATATCCTCAAACTCAACTCCAGTCCAACTCAATCCAACCAGAAGAAGCCCAGTGATTTATTTTTTTTGAATCCCGGTTCGACAAAGGAGAGGGAAAAAAAGGGAAAAAAAGATCCACAAAATAAGAGAAACGAAAACCATAAGGAGTCTACTACTGTTCATCGACAACAGTTGTAGGCATCCCCTTGGGATTCTTGACACTCACAGCCTCAACGTACGAGAAGAGTCTGTGCTTTGCCCCTTCCTCGTCGTTTCGCTTCCGTGAGATACGCACACGCAGGCGGAAGGGAACTCCCTTGATTCCGCGCTTCCAGACTTCCTTGTTAAGCAGTGGATCGAGGCGGACGTCCTCGGTACCCTTTATACTCGTAGATGTTATGTCAGTCGGGGCTTTGCGGGTGGGGTGGGTATGTACTGCGGGGCCCTTGGTGCTGTAGAGGGGGGAGGGCGGGGAGTACCATAGACTGAGTAGCGAAAGCCTTAATCTCCTTGATAGCCTTGGGAGCACGCTTCTTGAAGGAGACGCCGTGGACCTGAGAGTTCGCTTGTCAGCTCGCCTCCCTCCCTCTCCCTCCCTTCTTCTCCACTCAGCCGGCAATGGGTTATAGATGGGGACGTACACGCTTGTGCAAGTGAATGGTGTACTCCCTAGTGACGACATCGGCGAGGGCGCTGCGGCCGGGCTTAGATTTCGATGATTTGGGCATCTCTACCTTTTTTCCCCGAATTAGTCTTCTTCTTCCTCTTCTCCCCCTTCCCCCGAGTTTCGGTAACGTACGGTCTCTCTCTTTTGCTGGATCGGCGGTGGTGGAGTTGGTGTCGATGTAGTTGGCAGCGGTTTGTTGTCCTCGATTGCTCGAAATTAATTATTATTATTTTTTTCGCCCCAGGTGGGTAGGTAACGAGGGCTTCTTCGTAACTTGTGTGTGGTGATTTGTGTGGAGGGGGTGGGGGTGGGATTGATGTGACGGGTTGGGGCTTTGCCCTAGCAGTGGGGGGGGGTTCCGGATAGCCACGAAGTGTGGCTTGTCAAGAATCGGAGTGGCTTAGGATTCATGATGGTTGGCTAGGGACGGACCATCGAGCCTGGATTTACGGCTACCAGTTATTATCGGAGGGTTCTTCTATGATAGGGGGTTTCCTCACCATGGCTTTTTCAAACCTGGGTAACGGCGATACCGGCACAACAAGTCGAGGATTTTCAAAAGTATCATACCATACTCCAGAAACTTGAGCTTGGCTTCGTGTTCACCGACCCCATCCATCAATCCAACACGAAGAATCAATAAATTCTAATAAGCGATCCGAATGTTTGAAGGACACTTCTGGTTTTAGCTCCTTCTCCACTCACTGTCTGCTGGGGACAGGTCCATACTGGGAATATGGTTGTGTCGATGATTGTTTGCCGCACCATTTGATTCCCTGGATAACCAATGCATCATGCCACCCACGACTGGATGCCGGGATCTGTACGAGTACGATACGACACTTTTCAATGTTGGGGCGCAAGTAGGAGCGCAGTGCTCACTCGAAGTAAATTAAGTAGTTCTTTTTTACTTGCGCGGGTGCAGTGTATACAGTGCATCAAGCATCCCCATTTAGCAGACCTGCGCAGCCCATCTCATTAGTCTACACCAAATCGGAGACCACGTAGTTTACTGCACGGTACTCGTACTGTACTCGTGTAATGCCATACAGCACCCCCCAATCACGCAGCGAGCCCAACCGGCACAATTGAGTCGGCGAGAGAATCTTCGTATGATAGACTAGACGGATTCGGAGTGGGGAAAGGAAGCATCGGGAGAATTCGAATCCACCAGGGACCGAAACCCGGAAATCTGGTCGCGAAGTCTCTAATATCATATACATTATTATTATATAAGTTAGCAAAATGGAGCCCATTTCAACATTTACCATTTCACCTGGCCCCGTTATGTCTTTTTCACTTTTTCACTATCTCACAAAAACCTCCCTTGACTTCACTATTGCGGATCGATCACTACGTTTTTTTTTCTGTTTTTTTCTCCTTCGTGCCAATAGGATGCAGCGCCCCAATGGGGAATATAGAGTTGGCGCGAATTTCTATCTCTCTTTCTCTACTCGTACCGTATTAGATGATTTGATACCTTATTCACTCCAGGTCAAAATGAAAGTTTGGCAACTACTCGTATCACAGTATGGTACGCAGACAGTCCTTACAAACCTGCCGGTCTAGACCCCCCCCCACCCCCTTCCCCGCAGACTCCGATTTTCCCTTCCTTTCCCTAATCTCATCCCAAGTGCCAATTGTCCAGGAATCGCCGGTATAACTTGTACTAAGTTATTTTCCCGGGAGGCGGCCCCGGTTTGACCTGCGGTGCAGTACGAGTACTCGTAAGAATGTTTGGGTTGGGTGATCCGTGCACTTCTGACGTCTGTCTGTCTATCTGCTGCTATGGTGCCGGACAACCAAAATCTGCCCACAACGATCACAAAACAACTAGAAATAAAATTATCAACAACACAACCACTTTAAGCGATAGAGGAAATTTGTCTGGTAGATAGATAGATTAGCATCAGTTAAAGATATTTACCAGAGGAAATTCAGGGAAACCAAGTGGTGAATGTAATTCTGACTTTTTAGGTGGAGTGATTTTGTATAGGGTCGAAGGAGTTGGCCAGGGAGAAAAAGAGCCAAGATACCAAGGATTTTAGTGAATCTTGGCACGAGTGATATCCTATGAATGAAGCTATACTAAGTAGAGTTAGTAGATTGTTAGAAGCGAAAAAGTGAGGTGAAGAAAGAAAAAAAGGAGAGAAAAAGACAACGAAGACACATACAGCCTACTCAGCGGAGTCATTCCAATATCCACAAGTGTGATTACGAACGAGACAGTTATGGTAACAGAAAAGCGCAAACGGCAGTCAAATCTTACTCTAGTTCAAGCAAGAGAAAGCAAGTTAAAGAAAAGCGAAGCAGAGGTAAGTTGTTTGCTAGAAAATAAAGTCTAATTTACTTAAATGTCTACGGAACATATTCTAAATATTTCACTAAAGCTAACAAGTGGAATCCAGAGGAGAGAGAAGAAAGAAAACACTTACTTCAATTACACAAACGAAAGTGATCCCGAAACCGAGCCTCCCACAAGTGACGATAGCGATTCCGAGTTTGATGAGGAAGCGGATACAGCGGGCAGCGAAGCCACTACTGAGGACGAATGGTGTGGGGAGATAGAAGAGAACACAATACAAATGATTAGAGAGAATCAAAATAGAAAAGAGGGGGAAGAAGAAGAGGAAGAAAGCCTAATCAGAGGCCGACTGGTAACTGACCTCAAATATCATACCGAGGCTGGTGGAAGTCTCAAGAATATCTGGGGAGTAGGATCAGCCCGAACGGAGCGACGGAAGCAACGCGAAGCTCAAAGTCTCAAAGCCGAAGCATCCAAATGCTATGATATTCGGGCACTATGGGAACGAGGAAAAATATTAGGTGTATGTAAGAATCCCGAAAACACGATAGTGACTCCGGGGGCACGCTTTTTTGAGGGGGAAAGTCGAATACCATTATTAGAAGAAGTCCCACGAGGGTGTAGTCCTCCAACTCGAAAGCCAAATTCTGAAGAGAGAGAGGCTGCGCTTACAGATATGCTATATCTGTTAAGTCATAAGAGGAAAATCAAGGAGATGTATGGAGATGGGGGGCTTACTGGAGCATTTCGCCAACGGCATGAGATGGTTATGCAATTTCTCCGAGCACAAAAGCGAAAAGAAAACTTTGGACAAAGGAGACGAAAGGTGGCTTTAGGCATAGCCAATTGCCACGGTAGAGGAATGCATACTGCACGTATGATAATTCAGTGGGAATTACGATGGATAGAAGAGAGGGAAATACCACGAAGCCAACAAGGTGGGGGGGATGGCCGGATTGTGACCTGGTTTGAGGATGAAGGTGTATTGTTAGCAGTAAGAGAATATATCATGCGAACTGGAGAACGTAAGTATACTATTCATTCTAATTCTTGTTATTAATTCTACAATATTGAATAAAAAGTAGATATATATGCTAAAATACAATTTATAAATACAGAAGTTACAGCACGAGGGTTAGCAAAGGCTGTGGCCAATTTCCTGAAGCCCAATCCTGAGCAGCCTGCATCCCAGCCATCTGGCCAACAGGTTGTACCCATGATGCACCAAATCGAGGCAAGGGGAGAGGTAGAAGGACTAGTATTGGAGGCGATAGAGTGGGTTGGAATTCGGGATGGAGTAGAGGATACACATCACCGGAAAAGAAAAGGAATACGAGCTCGAACTGCCCGAAGGTGGTTGGCACGCCTTGGCTTCTGTTGGACAGATGTTCAAAAGGGGGTATATATTGATGGCCATGAAAGGCCCGATGTCATTGAGGAAAGGGTACGCTTTTTGGAGCAATTGGAGGGGCTACAGCCATATTTGGTTGAATTTGATGAAGTTGGGGCGATCAAGCCTAAGGTCTATCCACGAGGATGTGAGGTTGGAGGATTGCATCCTCCAGTAATCCTAGTTACTCATGATGAAAGTACCCTAAACAGTAATGAATCAAGATCAAGAGTTTGGATGGCTGCTAATAGTACCTATCTACGTCCAAAGGGGAGGGGAAGAGGAATAATGATCTCTGATTTCCTATTACCCTGTGGCCGCCTTACAGCAGAAAGTCTTACGATTGAGCAACGTCAGGTATTGAAGCTTCCTCTACACGCATCCAAAACCTTTGAATTTGGGTCTCAAAATCATGCTGGTTATTGGTCTACAGATGATATTATTAGTCACACACTTGATACTGCTGTCAAGATTTTCGAAGCCGTTTACCCTGGCTATAAAGCGCTCTTCCTATTCGATAATGCTTCGAGCCATAGCTCATTCGCTGAAGATGCACTACGAGTACAAAATATGAATCTAAGCGGAGGTGGAGACCAACCTGTGATGCGGAATGGGTTTTTTCTGAAAGATGGAATTCGTATCATACAAGAAATGGTAGATGGGCATGGGGTACCAAAGGGTATTGAGGTTGTTTTACTGGAGCGAGAGCTATGGACTATGGGTCTACGATTGGAATGTCCTAAAATCCTATGTGTGGAGTGTCAGATGCGGAGAAAATGCAAGATTTGTGTTAAGGGAAGTTATTGTCTCTCTCATAAACCTCAAAGGGGAAGGAGAAAAGACTGCAGGGGAAATGACTTTTGTTCACCACGCCAGCTATGTGATTTGTGTGCTGCCCGGCGGGCTTGTCTACAATGTACTAAAAAAGTATATTGTGAGGAATGCCGACCATTTGTTGGCCGGAAATGTCTCGCATGCGAAATACTACCCCCCTCCTGCTCAGATTCAGGTATGAACTCCCATCTTCCATGCAGGCAAAAATATGTTCCAATTTCTTCCTCTATTTTATACTTGAAAAATGTGAACGGTCTTTTTGCCCCTAGTATATCCTACTTCTTATTTGATACCAAATAGAGTACTAACTTGTATATCTATCGTGATACTTTAGGCTGCTGTGCACGGAAAATCCTATCCTTACAGTATGACTTTTTGCATCAGAAAGGAAAGCTGCAGGAAATGATTGAGGCCACAGGACATGCAGTATTATTTTATCCAAAATTTCACTGCGAGTTAAATTGGATAGAATATTATTGGGGCCAGGTTAAAAGATATACCAGAGATAATTGTGAATATAACTATGAAGGATTGAAGACTGTAAGTTCTTTCTATTCTATCTACTAACTTAATATTATCCTACATATGATACAATTCCCCCTAACCTATAGTATTTTTAGATTATTCCATACGCATTGTCCTCTGTGAAGTCAATAACCATCTCACTATTTTTTGCACGAACACAGAGAATCATGGAAGCATACCGGCAGGGGTTCCGATATGGGACAGCAGAATACCGTGAATATCTTTCACACCGCCGTGTTCGTCACCTGGAAGATGATTTCTAAATTTGGGTCCCAAATCTCATATTACTTCTGCTCAATTTGAATATAGGAGATTAGCTAAACTATACTTTTATCCTTTTTCTTTACTTTATTCTTTTTCCTAGAATGTACATAGATCTAAATCTCTGCTTACCACTTCCTTCTATCACATGCCCAACAGGTGGGTCCCACTTTTGCCAAGCTCACGGGCGGCATCATAGAATATCACTCGCTTTTTCTGGCACTTGGCCAGAGGGTAGATTTTGGTTGTCCGGCACCATATGAGTATTACAGGCATTATTGTCAAGTTGCGGTAACCTCTTACGGTATTCTACCAAAGTGCTTACGGTATATCATACCACCGCACCTATGATACTCTATCATTGGACTAAAACCTAGTTTTGCCGTAATTAACTTTTTGTAGCAAAGACACCCCACCCATGATGGTTGCTATCACGGTACAGTAAATTTACCGGTACTGTAGCTCACGGTACTCGAGTACTACCACGGTAACAACAAGCTTAGGTGGGACGTCATTGATCCGTCAGTGCTGTAATAATTTCATACCACGGCAGCCACACCTGAGAAGCTCCCATTAAATTTATGTTCTACCACTCGAGTAGTGCGAGTCACGATCCACGACACCGGAACTCGTAAATTTGCTTGTATGGTAACCCACTACGGTGCTAGATGCGGTATCATTACATACATATGGGGATGAATTATTAGATGCGGTAAAAATCTACTCAACTCCCCTGCCACCCCCACCAAACGAATATAAAAGCGAGCTCTTTCGTCACTATGGAAGCTACTCGAGTGCTGCTCCTTACACGAATATCTTCTCCCCTTCCTCAAGCATCTCTGTAATCCCATTCGAGTGCTACTACTACTGCCCAATATCATTATTATTACTATCATTTCTTCGTCTTGATAGTACCCTCGCACAATGTCTGGCACATTCCAAAGGCTGCAGGAGTCTCTGAACGAGGCGAAGACCGCGGCAACCCACAAGGTTAACGAGGTCGCCTCAATGAACGAGAAGATTGTGGAGATGTGGCCGAATAAAGTATCTGTCGAAAAGAGCGGAAATAGGCTTACTACGGATTCCGGCACGAAGGTGCATGATGTGGATCATTGGCTCAAGGTGGTTGACCCGAGCACTGGCCATCACGGGCCGAGTTTGGTGGAGGACCAGATTGCGAGGGAGAGGATTCATCGGTGTACATACTTCCCCCCTTGTCTGACGATGGAAGATCAAAGGCTATTATAGTAATAATCGAAACTGACAAATGTTGCGAATAATATAGTTGACCATGAGCGTATTCCTGAGCGTGTAGTCCACGCCCGTGGCGCCGGAGCACACGGGTACTTTAAGCTGCACACGCCCATCCCCGAATTCTCTAGCGCTCCCGTCCTCAACGACACGGCGCGCACCACACCCGTGTTCGTGCGCTTCTCAACGGTAGCCGGGTCCCGCGGTTCCGCGGACACCGTCCGCGACGTCCGCGGGTTCGCCATCAAGTTCTACACGGAAGAGGGCAACTGGGACATCGTCGGGAACAACATTCCCGTCTTCTTCATCCAGGATGCTATCAAGTTCCCGGACTTTGTTCATGCCGCCAAACCCGAGCCGCATAATGAAGTGCCGCAGGGGCAGACGGCGCACAACAACTTTTGGGACTTTCTGTACTTGCACAGCGAGTCGACGCATATGGCCCTTTGGGCCATGAGTGATAGGGGGATTCCTAGGAGTTTTAGGATGATGCAGGGATTTGGGGTTAATAGTGGGTTTTGATTCTCTCCTCTTCTTTCGTGATGGGGTGTGGCTGATCTGGGGACAGCATTTTCGTTGATTAATGTTCAGGGTGAGAGAACGTTTGTCAAGTTCGTGTGGACGCCTGAGTTGGGTGTTCACTCGCTGGTCTGGGATGAGGCTTTGAAGCTGGGTGGTCAGGATCCGGATTTCCACAGAAAGGATCTGTACGAGGCTATTGAGAACGGGCACTATCCCAAGTGGCAATTCGGAATTCAGGTTGTTGCCGAGAAGGATCAGGATAAATTCGAGTTCGATATCCTGGACGCTACGAAGGTATGGCCGGAGGATCAAGTTCCCGTCAACTATATCGGAGAATTGGTTCTGAACAGGTGCCGCCTCCCTGTACTGATCTATCACTCGGACATCAGCTAATCATGTGATAGGAATGTCGACGAGTTTTTCGCCGAAACCGAACAGGCGGCCTTCTGCACCTCTCACATTGTGCCCGGAATCGGCTTTTCAGACGACCCTCTCTTGCAAGGCAGAAACTTTAGCTACTTTGACACGCAAATCACCCGTTTGGGAATCAACTGGGAACAGCTCCCCATCAACCGCCCCGTCTGTCCCGTGATGAACTTTAACCGTGACGGGGCACTTAACCACCGCATCCACAAGGGCAAAGTCAACTACTGGCCAAACCGCTTCGAAGCCGTTCCCCCCGGGTCGCACAAGCAGGAGATAGACTCGTATCAGGAGTACGCTGCCAAGATCGTGGGATTGAAACTGAGGGTCAACGGAGCAAAATTCCGGGAGCACATCGCTCAGGCGCAGTTGTTTTACAATTCCCTCGCGGAGCACGAGAAGAAGCACGTTGAAGCTGCACTCGCGTTTGAGTTGAGCCACTGCGACGAGCCAATCGTGTACAAGAGGATGTCGGAGAGACTTGCCGTATTACCCCACCCCTTCCGGCCGTCCCTCCACCCCATCCTATCGTTTCCCCAATAACCAGCTGACCATGCGTCTCAAAAATAGGACATTGACCTCACCCTCGCCCAAAACGTCGCCAAGATGGTCGGCGGCGATATCCCCAAGGAGGGCCGCCAGAACCACGGTCGCAAAGCACCGGGCCTATCCCAGACCAATTTACCCGCTTTCAAGCCAAACATCGAAGCCCGTCGAGTGGCAATGATCATTGCGGACGGCTTCGACATGGGCGTTTTCACGGCGGTGCGCACAGCGCTCAAAGCCGAGCGCGCAACGACCTGGGTGGTTGCTCCTAGAAGAGGAATGATCTTCCCTACCGGTATCGACCCAGAGAGCGGCACAGGCGGCCTGATGGCAGACCACCACCTCGAGGGGCAAAGGAGCACCGTGTTTGATGCGATATTTATATGTCCTGGTGCCCAAAGCACGCTTACTCTTCGAGAGGTAAATATTCACCTTTCCTCCCTTCCTTTCTTTTTACTCGGCGGGGTATATCCATAGCTAACGCATCGACAGAACGGAAGAGCGGTCCACTGGGTCCGCGAGGCCTTTGGGCACTTAAAGCCCATCGGTGCCCTCGGTGACGCGGTATCCTTCCTGCAACAGGCTGTTGTCCTCCCGGGCGTGAACATAGCGGCCGACCCCAACTCTCACGAAGTCGTTACTTCATACGGCGTCGTAACGGGCTGGAAGAGTTCCGTGAGGGTTCTCCGGAGCCTCAATATCGAGCCCAGCACGTCCGCGTTTTCGAGCGCTTTCGCCCACGAGATTTCGAAGCATAGGTGCTGGGAGAGGGAACTGGATGGACTCCACACAAAGCTCGCGTTTTAGGGGAAGGAAATTGGTTTTTTTTTCCTTTGAAATGTATCAAGGTTTTGATCGCTTTCTGCCCTTTCTGGGGGTGAAGGGGTGAATTGGGGAGAATAGAATTGAGCTGTACTGGTACGGTACGATGTGCAGTGTGTTACTCGTGCAGAAGGGTAATTACGGATGTCGTAGGGCAGGATGATGGAACATGCATCATTGTATCATACGAATAAATGCCGGAAGCTATCATACCAGCACCCGCCCTACCTAATTGCTACCTACCGACTTTAGTATGATATCATATGATAAGCCTCCAATTCACCAACCACCCGAATTACCGCAACTCGCTTCAACCCCTAAAGTCTCCTCTTCCACCAACTGCTCATTACAACAACAGTCTATCATATTATCATACAAAGCCATCTCGCTCAATCTATCCTGCCCCCATCTACGATACGGTACGATACCGGTATCATACTCTGCAAACCCCTACACAGCCCCGTACACAGCCACAAACACAACCACAGCCACACAAGACCAACGCAATCAAATCAAATCAAATCAAACTCAAATAACACCACGCCACACCGCCAACAACAACGAACAACCACCCATTCCACTCCGTTCCGTTCCCGCCAACTTATATAAACCAACCTTTCTCTCTCTATCTGTCCCTTAGATTCCATCCATTCTTCATTCCTTCCTTTTCGATCATCGCAAACTTCTCGAAACACACAAGCGAACACAAACAAACAAACAATCGAAAGAACGAACAAACTAGCAATGCCCCTCACGTACAGCAAGCACTTTGGCGGCCGACGCCTCGGGTTCGGAGTCTCGGCGAACAAGCATGGCGTTAGGCCTCACGTTAGGTTCTCGCTGTGCGGCTTGAGCTGTTTTCGTTGAATACTTGTGCCGTGCAAGTAGGGTTGGTCGGATCTTATTGGGTGGGGAGGGAGGTATGGGGAGGCTTGTGGGCTTGTTGGGGTGGGGATAGGCGCGGGGGGGGGGGGGAATATCTTAACGACATTTTACGATGGGTTGCGATTTGCGGGGTAGATGTTCAAGTTTCTTTTTGCTGGAGTGTTGGGTACGATACTGGTACGATTGTGGTCGGAGAGGGCCGCGTGGTTTTTGCTTTTGTTTTCTTGGGCCCTGTTTCTGTGACAGCGGATTTGTGCTATCGTACGCGATAATACCATTCACATTGATTCACTTCCACTTCGGTGCAATTTACAGTAATTCAGCCAAAAAAATTCCTTTTTTTCTTCTCATTAGAATCTGGGCGATCGCTATTGGGACCGCATGGTATGAAGGAAAGGCGGAACGGGGAAAGTAGAAACAAGAACAAAGCTCAAGCGGTCAAGGGGGAAATGCAAAAGCGAGTAAAAAAAAATAGGCAAGGAGGGGAAAACGAGAACTACGGGATTAACTAAGTAGTAACTCCCTTCGATAGTTCCTTCTCGTCAAGGCCCTCCGCCAGCTTCTCGTCCCGCACGTTCGCCATACGGCCTTGAATCGGCGGCCCCCTCCTCCCGGTGATGTCAAGCCAGATGCTCTTGGTGGTATGAGCCATTGCATGCCTCCCCTCCCAGAGCGGATACACCCCCACGCATAGCATGGAGAAGAACAGCCAAATAATGCCCACAGTAATCCACCCGGTGAAGAACTTCTTGGAGAATATGTAACTCGTGCCGTATAGCGGGAAGGGCCAGAGGACCAGCAAGATTAGAGTCATGACGACAGTCGTGATTCTGGCGATCTTGGCCGCTTTCTCAAGCTTCTTTTGCTCCATCTCCTCGCTCTCGCTGCCGTTCGAGCCCGCGCGTTCGCCTGGGATTAGTTCTAGGTCGATGTGCGCTTCAGCTGCGATGTCGTGGTCGTCTCCTTTGCGGATTGCTCGCATGGATTCGTAGTCGTAGTTGTCAAAGCCAAAGATCAAGGTTAGGATTGGGATGAAGACGAGAGGGGAGAGGAGGGCGACGACGTTTCCAGCTAACATGGGGTCGCTATTGGGCGATTGTCAGAACCTGTTACGAAGCATTGTTCAGGGAGGAGGAGGGGGGGGGGGGGTAATTACTTGCTTCCCGACGTGGCGACGGTGATTTCGCCATACTTCTTTTTGGTGGTGACTAGCCAGGCGACAAGACTGCAGGCCAAACCGAGAATTGGTGAAAGCATGGCGGCCCATTTATTCTGTCCCTTCCAGAGAAGGGTTAGGGATGCCGGTAGGACCGCACTGGAGACTATTACCCCCATGAGGAGGTATAGGTAGCCCATCGAGACCCCGGCATAGTAGAGGCCGGTACTGAAGGCCGCCATGATGACGCCGAAAGCGACGACCATAGTGTGGGACATAATTATGAGCTTCTTGCCTGTTGCCGTTGGGTTGAAATAGGTCTACCGCACGATTAATCAGCATCGTTGTCGCGGCGAGCATGGACAGGAAAGGAGACGAGTATTGGAGCACAAACCTGATACAAATCATAAGTGAAGATACTCGAGACAGCGATCAACTCTGCAGAACTAGCGCTGGTAACAGCCATGAAAATCAGAAGCAGTGTGCAAGCTGCGCCGCCCTGTCCCAATAATGCGACCGCGGCATTGGGCAAGACCAATCCAGCCTTAACATCTGCGTCGGGCATGCGAAGGGGGAAGGTCGGGAATGAAGGGTGATTCTCGAGAGCAAGACACGCAAGCCCCATGGTCGTCGCTGCGAGCCATGGGATGGCGAACCAGGAAAGACCGCCAAGGACGTATCCTGGAAGAGCAGAAACTGGAGAGGCCGCAATGGCCTTGTTATAGTATCCGTTGTCGAGAAAGACGGTGCCGAAGTTGCCGACGATGTTGATGATGAAGAAGATTGCACCCTCCTTGGAGCGCATGGTGAGGTAGCTGCCTCCAGCATTGCCTGCGACGGGATGTCTAGCGGAGGCCTCGACGAGTAAGTCGTAAACCTTGCCGGGAGAGCCTAGGATGTCGGAAGTTGCATATGTTGTGAAGGCAAAGATGAGGATGACTACAAGAATTACCACGGTGTGGATATAGTCTGTTAAGAAGGTTGCCCTGTAATAACATTAGAGTTTTGGCGCTAGCCAATCAGCGCCACAGACGGATACATACTTGATGCCACCAAAGAGAGTATATAGGACGACACCAACCGGCAAGAGAAAGCACGCGGCGGCCGTAGGCATTCCCGTCAGCGAATTGACCACAGCACTTCCTCCCGTTAACAACATGGCCGTGACCCTAAGCTCTCAATTGTCAGACATGTTTCCGCGATCCTCCCCTCTCTCTTTTGCACGCCCTTCAGGGGAACTAAGGGCACTCACAAGATGTTGGTAAAAAGTCCGAAAACCATATACGTAATGTGAGTCCCGCCTCCATATCTAGCTCTTATGACCTCCAAGAAGGTGTGCGCATTGGGAGCTTTCCTCTTCAATTCAATCGCAAGGGTAGCGAACAGCAGGATCTGGACCGTCGCACCGGAAGCATACCAGAAAGGGCCGGATACACCATATTGGTAAGCAATGCCGGAGCTCTGCAGAAGGGTAGCTGCCCAAGTCCAAGAAGAGACGACGGCTGAGGCTACGAGACCAGTCCTGACTGTACGACCGGCAGTACTGAACATTTCGGATGTTTGAACTTCATTCTGATACCTAAACAATCTGTCAGCAACTGTGGAGGGAGAGAGAGGGAAGATGGAAAGAAAGTCCTGGTAGTAGATACGAAGGGTGCAAGGTCATCATACCTCTTGAGAGCCCAGGTGGTCCCAATCATCCCCAATGCAAAAGCAAATCCCAACCCCAAGACGATTCCATACCCAAACCCTTGGGACAAAGGTGGAGACGACATTGCAGACACGTTTTCTGTAATCTCCCCGGTTTGACCAGCCTTAGAGTTCGCAAACGAAGTGTGGAGGGAAGGAGAGAGTGGAGACGGGTGATGGATATATTAATATTTCCCTAAAAATGTACGAACGATGCGGGAACTCTTTTCTTCTGTGCCATGATACGATGCATCCCCCCTGCTGCCTGTGCCCCCCCCCCCCCTCTACTCGTACTCGAGTAGGGCACCTTACACCATGGGCTTAGGTTGGCGGGGAAAACTGCTCTTGTGAGGGTGGGATCCATCAGAAGAGGGAACGGTATAGCGGGACCGATAAGGAAAATGACAATAAGCGTTAAAACAGCCGGGTGACACAGCAAGGATATTTTCCAAAAAGGGCTCCCGGCCCGCAAAATCTGTCCCCACTGTTTCCCTTATCTACTGGTATCGCTGCTAGACTCGTTTCGCATCCGGGTCGCGACTAATTCTGGTTTGCAAACCGATGCCCCCGTGAATGCCCAGACGATATCTATGGCTAGGGATGGTTTGGGCTGGCGGCGCCAAGCTGATGTTATGACAGGAATGCTACCGGTATTGTGCATCGGATAATTAGTAAAAAGCATAACATCTCAAAAAGCTCCGAAAAGCCTTTTTGACAAGCTTAGGAGAGAGACTATAGGCCCGAGCAAGCGAGTCGGGAGAGGGCGGGTGAGTGGCCCCTTCCGCCGGCCGGTCATGTTTTTTCGGCCTCCTGCGATAAAATTGCGGGAAATGATCGAGTAAGGGCACCTTCGGCCTTATCTCGCGCCTGCGGGCGGTAAGCAACCAGAGGGAGTGAGATCCGTCACAAACCACTCGCTGCAGGGTGGGGATGATCCAGTTCGCAAAGGAACCAGATCAGCGATACGATCCTAGCGCCTCGGAATCCAGAGCCCAGAATTCACTACCGATCCATATGCCAGTATCTCAGTACCGTGCCGGAATAAGAAGGTGGGAAGCGGTAAAGTGGGAACAGTCTGATAAAAGCTCCCCAGAAGCTCGAACCCAATGAAATAGTTTGGTCAAATTCAAATATTCCCCACTACCATTACCGAAGAAGAAAAGAGCTTAAAAAACCAAAGAGATTACTTGATAAGATTTACAATTCCCACCATCGCGTGCCCGTATCCCCAATCTAACAAAAAATGAGAGGAAAGGAGTGGGAAAAAGCAAGTAGAGTTCCCCCTCCCCCCAGCAATTCATCTGCAACAACCTCAAGATGGAACCAACTGCAAGCATACACCCCCCCCCCCCCCCCCGCGCGCGTTCCTTTGAGCCCCCAAACAAAACAAAACAAAACAAGCATGAAAGGAGGGAAGAAGAAAAAGAAAAAAAAATGTCACCAGAAGATGGTTTCCTGGAGCACTTTCGCTTAGGATCGCATCATGTGCCCGGCTCAGCGCGTTGGCACTGTGACTTCGTCTACTTATATTGCGGGTGGGACTGGGGGGGAGCCGCTGGTGCGCCCTGCGATTGCATGCTAGTGAGCTGTCCCTTATTCCTGTTCTCCCTATCAGTACCAATCTGGCTTCTCACATCGGAACAAAAATAAGAGCGAGGGGGCAAACGTCGATTGATGGTACTGGCAGATGCTACATCTCAATTCCTACATAACACCAGTCGTCAGCCTTCGCCCAGAGGACCGCCCGCCATCGTGGGCTGGGGGAGACCGACCTCTCCCCAGCTAATCGGGACAATAGGAATGAAGCAGAAGGTAAAGAAGTTCCTGCGCTTAATCGCGACAACTATACTCGAGTAATAGATATTAGTATTCGACATGCTAAGCGTTCCGCTTGCCGCTAGACAGGTCTGGGGGCGGCCAGACCGGAGGAATTATGACACCTCTACAGGCCAAATTAGCACCCCACAAATTTACTGTCACATTTGACTAGCGGGTAAACATACCGGACAAACAACGCGAATATGTTCAAATCCCTTGAGGGCTCCAGAGAAGTCCTGGGTTCCACAGACAAAGAAGAAGAACATGGCTGCGGTCCTGGTGCTGGTGTTTGAATGGAGTTGGAATGAACGCGCTAGGGGTGATGTTTGTTCAGCGAGTTGAGGTTGTGTGGTGGTCTTATTATGATGGCTTGCTCCTGTCAGAAGTTCGAACCTCTGCTTCTTGGAGTGGCGGAGCAACGCCGAGCATGCTTCCGACCAGGACTCGTGGGGTACTTTGCCGCGCAGTTCGCCCGGCCTTTCTCCTTGGCTTGTCTTGGGGAATTATTTTTAGACCGATGTGGCGTTGCCTGTTTCCGTGGCGTGTGTGGCGCTCTTCCTACCCATGGAGGATATCATACCGCGGCATTGTCGTGCCGGTATTTCACTGCTTGCTCGAGGGTTTAAATCAACTTCAACACACTCTCTCAACACCTTTTTTCTGTTATCTCTGGAACCGTCTCATATCCTGTTACTGCCACCTGAATTTTTACTTCCGGTATCCCAGACAAGCTTTATGCCTCCTAGAAATCCAAGGCCCTAGGTATAATATAGTATGGCACGGTACTCGTTCGAATATTATATACTGCTTGAGTAGTATGCTTGCTGGAATTTCGAAATCACACCGCCTCTTGACCGTACGCCCCCACAATTGTTATCCTTATTATGCCCCAACTCGGCTGGTCCAGTGGGTTGCCGGACGGTGTGGTGGTGTTTTCATCCAACACCCCGCCTCTGACTCTTGCCACTTCCCACAAATTACCTACATGTCCACTGGATTTGGACCCGGTATCGCGCAGGTTGCAATCTTTCCTTCCATATGAAGAATGACTGCCATCCCCTGCCAGAAAGTAAGTGTCTGATTTGCCGCTCCCAAACCTGTGCCAAGTGGGCTGGGCCGTTCGCCTTATTGCCTCGAGGGGGCTCCGGAATGGGCGGAACACTGACAACACCGCACTCCCCACTCATTCTCTAAGCTCGCCGGGGCCCGGGGGGAGAACCGGGGAAACACGATTGGGTACCACGAACGGTGGCCAGCGCGGGTGCCCCGCCCCATCACACAAGGTGGGCTTACGAGTATCTATCAGGTCCACAGCGCCCCCAAGGGAGTCGCCAGTCCATGTGCCTCAAGTATGAGAGGGAGTTGGTTGTCAATAACGCAATAGGCGTGGCTCACGAGGTAGCCCATAGGTAGTTTATCCATTCCTTCTAGAGGATAGGCCATGTGAGACCAGATCGAGAATTCCTTCCTACAGCCATCACACGAACCATTTAGCCACTACAGCCCTAAAAGAAGGGGATTTAACACCGGAGCTAGATATTCATACCCTAGCAACTGATTGGCATAACCCTACCCCCTCATTCCCTGTACGAGTGTGGTTACAAACCTGCTGGGAGAAGCAGATCTTGTTTGTGAAATACGCCCTTCACAAACAAACCCCTCCAACACCACATCTCAAAGGGTCTGTTGGTAGGTGGATACCGGGCGGGTATGATAAGTCAATAGCTACGACCGCCCAGGCCCGGTAATCGTCAGTCTACTTTCAGAAGGAGAAATACGGGGTGTGGTCAACGGAAGCGTTTGTGTGGACGTTGGATATGCCCAATGAACCTGAGGCCGGCCGGGCCGTCCCTGATGCTAGTCCCCAACTGGGACTGACATGATGTCATTCGTGTGGTTGAAAACATAGCGAAAGAGCTACTTTTTTTTTTTTTTTTTTTGAAAATATGGCAAATAGAACGCAGTACGTGCTTTCCGCCCACTTTCTAAAAACGATCCACTAGAGTCTTTTTCTTGATTATACTAGTTTCCACCGTGATGCCCAGAAACCCCCCACCGGTGCCCACACTGCAACTAGTATCGCATCACAGACGCGAATTGTGCCTCCTTCTTCCTTTCCGTTGCCCGGGCGTGGGGAGAGAGGGGCTATGCAATCCCCCCTTAAAGGGAAGCACTCGGATTTGCTTTGTGGGACGATGGAGGTTTCTGAAAGCCGACTTCTCCATGATGTGGGTTTACAGACTTCTCTCATACCCCGTGGGACGGTCGAGCCAAATCTTTCCTAAATGGAAAAACTGCCAACAATTAGTTAGTTAGTTAGCTGTAGTACGTAATAAAGCCTAACGATAGGCACAGTGGGAATGATATGTCTAACTCGAGTGTCTAAATTGTCATCGCATGCCACAGTCCCGAACACGAGCTATGCCGCAAGCAACAAGCGTATCCATGCACTATCGTCATGAACCATTTGCAACGAAACGGTACCTCCCGCCCTACTAGTACACGAGTGAGGATCAATGATTCCCCCGTTGGGTATTCCATCCTGCGGAGCCAACACACCGGCTCTATCGATTGATAACCAATGAAAGCTACCAAACTTATCGTCAAAGACGCTACGGACATCCTGGGGTGGGAAACAATGAGATACGAGCATTACGTCCATTGGGCATGAGAAATCACTTCCATACGACCGAGAAGTGAGTGGGTAGTGAGTTGGTGAGAGCTTACTAAATCTACGGAGTAATTCACATTTCCCTTAATAATGGCTTGATCGGGCTAGGGGAAGGAACGGTGACTGGGGCACTTTGGCGAAACCCGCGTGATACTTGTACTTGTACTGAACCCACTGGCCTAACTCGAGGGGAAGTAAGCAAGCATCGCTCCGTCCTTGGGCTTCCGCTAAAAGGATGAATTCCTCCCTGTGGGGGATGTCAGTGCTCTGGGTGGGGGGTCGAGCATTTCCCTTCTCCCTAGAAAATTTCTTAGACTTACCGTGGCAGATGGCAAAATGAAGGAGGGAAATGAGACGATTACAGCAATTGCTGATAACATCTCAAGGGATATTACAAGCCAAGTATTCCAAACCGGGCTACATCAATGTTGCGAAGCTGGTTGGTAATTTATTACCATAGCCGTGCTGCAAGAGGGTACCTATGATAACAACTATACATGTATCTCTGCGACGGCACATGGTACGGGGATGTACGAGTACTAGCGCAAGTACAAGTAAAAAAAAAAAACTAGTTATACCCATTTGAAATCGGAGATAGATAATCAGTTAGTCAGAGCGGGCGAACGGAAGGTGGCGTAGCTGCCCGTTTTGTTTGTTTGTCGCAGGGTGACTTGATCGCTCGCTTGCGAGTGAATGGCGGGCAACCGGAAGGGATATGATAGACTAAGCAAGGAAGGTTCCTGCAGGACGGCCGGGCCCTACAGGTACGAGTGCTGGTGGTGGGCGGGCCCGCCTAATAATCGGCGGGAGTTACCGAAGTTTACAGTAAGGACGGTGAGCACGGACTGTAACTTACCGCCCGCCACAATGTTGGATGCTGCTTGTGCCGCACATACGAGTACGGTACAATGGTCTTTTAGGGAAGGACGGTGTCGCCCTACGAGTACAGTACTCGAGTACAGGTACCGTATGGCATGGTACCCTGCCCGGGATCAGCGAAATTCACAGAATCGCCTAATTAATCAGATCCGCAAATGCCAATGCGTTCACTATGATATACTATACACCCCTGAGCGCAACGGCGAGCGACCCCGCCGGTTGACTCAAACACGCGGGCGCAAGACTCCGGGGGAGACTGGTGGAAGGATACGGTACTATACTCTACAGTTCAGTACTTATGTCAACGACCGGTGCCGACCACCCGAGAGATTGATAAATATATAATTTGCATTTCATAATAACTCTGGGCGGTATAATCTACTGCTCTCGACAGAATACCGCAACTCGATACAGTAGTAATACGGTAATAGTCCTTCGTAAATTATGATGCATGAATTTGTCTAAATCGAGGAGTCGGCTTTTCTAGTCTTTATCGACTAGGTATAATACTGTACGAGTACTGTACAGTACAGTATGGTGCGCAGCCATTTTGAGCACCAAGTTTCAATCCAGATCCCCTGTATGATAGGAACACTACAAAATATCGGAGCTATTATTACTCCAGCTCACCATACTAATGCCATCCATATTCAGAGCCAAGCTCTCTCGAAAACCCTCCTCTCCTCTCCTCTCCTCTCCTATCCCCCCGGGTTCGCGGAGCATCGGAGAAAAGCAATGAGAAAGCTCACATACATTGTACAATACTTGTAAATGAGCCACCCACACGCCCCACCTAAATCCACTCCCTATAATGCCCCGCCATTCAGGATATTATCGCCATCGAGGTCCTTTTTCAATAATTAAATAAATGGAAAATCCCTCGACACGGTAAATTAAGTTTTTGGAGAGCAGGGTATGTAGGAAGGAGGTGACATGAGCCATATCGTCCTCTACCAGACCAGAGATCTACATTTCGCGGGGGGGGCCCGTGGAAGCAGCCCATAGACGCACAGCACAGCGTATACCAGAATCGCAGAGCAGGATTATTTTCACCTACCAATTCCCATTGCCGAACGTAAGATCAGATCTCAGGGGGGAGGGACACTACCGGTATCCCAACAAAAAAATTATATACCATGATACTGCGCATACGGTGGATTCCTCCTTGATATCACGATAGGTACAGCAACGTCATATTCTTAATCCTACATACAGCGCTGCCCTCAGCCACCCACTCCACTGTTGACCAGAACCTGGTTTACTCTCTCGTTAATAATATCGCATGGTAGATCTTCCAAAGGGACGAAATGGCAAACATGCCCCCCCCCCCCTCCTTCGTCGCACGCCAGGTCTCGAATATATCCGGAGCTAGAGCCTCACATCTCCGGGAATTTCCATGCGGAGGAAGGTGGGTTCTAGGATTGTATCGTATTATACCTATCGTCTTGCGACGTTTGTGAAACGGACCAGGCGTGCGTGGATGTGCGTGCAGGTGCACAGGTCCATGCTGAATGGAAAATGCTTAGTATATAGACCAATTGGTGAAATTAGAGCATCATTAAGAGTAAAAAATATAAAAAAAAAGCTACAATGGGAGGAATCATGAAGCATACATTGTATCCAAGTCATCACGTGAATATTCACAACAACAGAGAGAGATACAACAGCAGAACCCCGACACCGAGAGGGAAAACAACTACTATGGCTAAGCAAGGGTGAATCGTTGGGTATGCCATGCTACGGTAGAAGCTTCTCAAAAGATGAGTTTAAAAAGGGTATTTTAGCAAAAAAACCAGGATGCTAATAAGTATACTCCCCTGTCAAAAGTATTGTCCCACACTGCGACCTAAAATGCAACCGTGTGGAAATTGCATGACAACCGGCAACCACCCCCCCATGTTCCAACGACCACAACTTTATCAATCTAACTCCAAAATGCCAGTTTTTGGTAAACAATTGAGCGCAAAGGGGAGAACCTCACGTGGGATCTGCAAAGATCTGACTCCTGTTGAGTGTGCAGCCATTGTTGCAGGACAGGAGAATGGTTGGTTAGCAATCAAGTTGGCAGGCGAGTTTGATTGTGATCGTCGCACAATCTCATGTACAGTAAAACGCTGGCAGGATCACCAAACCTTAGGGGCACTCCCTAGGTCCGGGCGGCCGAAGACGCTTACCCCTCAGGGCGAAAGATATGCCCAGTTAATAGTTAAGCGGTATCCCAGAATCTCGTGGAAGGCGCTTATAGTTGATAGCCCTGTTGCCATCAGTCAGTCCACCATACGCCGTGCTATCGGGGCTCCTTACTGGCGCAAATGGAGGGCACAGAAGCGGATTCCTTTGAACAAGATTGATGTAGCTAAAAGGCTAGCTCATGTAAAAAGCCTGAAAGGAAAGACACAAATGCTCAAGGAGGTAGGTCCACTAAAATCTCTCAGATTATATAGGCTCTAGTAATAAGAATTTTCAGGGTACCCACTCCAATGAATCGACCGTATAAAATGATCCTTCCGCCTCTAATGACTGGATCTTTCATTTGCCGCATCAAAAGTATGATGAAGATAAAGTCAATCTACAGACACATGTCAAGCCAGAGTGGTCCCAGATGGTCTGGGAATGCATCTGGATAGGGGGCCGGTCAGACTTGATCATTATGTGCAGGGATGAGGATGCTGCACATAAGGGTTACTCGTCAAAGTCCTATATTCAGACTCTCGAGGAAGGGCTGCTTTTCTGCTATCGCCCTGGTACCTTTTTTCTTCAAGACAATGCTCAGATTCATACAGCAAAAACTACAATGGCCTGGTTCCGTTGTCACCAAATCGAGCTACAGCCACACCCTCCACATAGCCCCGATTTGAACCCGATCGAGCACGTCTGGAAAGCAATAAAAGCTATCTTACAAAAGGACTAGCCTGATCTCTGGAAGCTAAAGAGAAACGAGATCAACCGGCTGATATTCGAGGGTGTCCTGAAGGCTGCTTGGTGGGCAGTTCCTCAACCTTTAATTGATAGGTTGATCAGGTCTATGCCACGGCACTTACATGCAGTGCGTAATTCACATGGTTACTATACAAAGTATTAAAGTGTAATCAATCAGTATCAATTTAAATGTAAATTCATTTAATTTGGATGTCAATTGGTGAAGATAGACCATTGTTGTACCTTCAGTCAGCTTAGGGCACTTGGTTGATGCGCGATGTGGGACAATACTTTTGAGAGGTGATTGTACCTACAGTAACTACTCCGATATCATTCATTACAACAGCCTAATCCCACACCCTCCTCCCTCCGGTGTCCCCCCCCCATTCTTCAACTTAAACCAAACTCTTACGCTCCAGTAGAAATGTGATACAACGCATAAAAAAAAGGGCCAAAAACCTAGCCGATCGCGAACGATCTCGCTACAGTCTGCCTCACTCTACCCCCCGCAACCCCCTACGTGATGACCCGCGAGCAGACCAGCACGAATCCCGCGTAAGTACCGGCCTAGGCGTTGGGCGGGTAGGTTTGGGGGGGGGGGGGGCGGAATACAGCTGAGGAATGCATAATACCGGTATGACCGTCCAGCACTGGTTGGGCTGAATTGCCAGGCGAGTGAGAGGCTATGGAGGTGTGCCATGAGGGATCACCCACGCTCAAAGGTTATATGGTGCAAAGTGACCGAAACCGGGTCCTGAAAACAGGCAAACCCGATGTTGAACTAGTCTACCACAACAAGGAATTTTTTCAAAAAAAACCCTCAGAGAGGAAGCCATTCCTGAGGGGAAGAGGCCTGAGGTTTCTTTATTGTGATTAAGGATTGTATGAAAAAGTAGTTCAGGTTCAAAAAGTGAAAATTTTGGTGAGAGTGAAACAAGTGACACAATCTACACAGTGCTGTGCTGTAATATACAGTGGAGTGGATATGAGCAGGGTCAAATAAAAAACCATGAGCTGAAGACAAAGGACTAGTACAAGGTTATGGAACAATTATTTGAGGTTAACTTGTGAAATTTATTCCCCTCTATCCTGGTTAAGGGTTCCTGTACTTATACCCTGTTATGATGCTTTATTCAGGGTATAGAACTTGGCATTTCTTGTCATTACCCGGATCGGTTGCAATGGGTTTCACCGGAATTCCTGTTTCATCGGAGGTCCCGCCTTTAGATGCTTTGCACCATAATAACTTCGGTAGTATCCGGTGGGGGCTAATTTTCATTCTAGTTGGCCCTTTACTCGTATCTTTTATTTTTTTTTATTTTTTTTGGGGGGGGGTCCGATTGGGAGGCCGGTGTTGTTCTGTACGAGTACGAGTACGGTACGGATGTCGCTTGTTTGGGGAGGTATTTTTGGGTGTGATGATTCTGTCGAGTGGGGGTGAGTAGGTGGTGGGTGGTTCACAGATTTTCACTGCTGGTGATATCATGCCTACCGGTATGTCTGTTTGGGCGGCGACTCGGGCACCTGGGGTTGGCAGAAGCTTCTGGTCCGCGAAAGTTCTCTACGGTAAGTTACTTGGGTACCGTATACAAAGAGCGGTCGTGAAGGCGGTGGGGGCTATTATAGGAGATTTACCCTACGACGCACACCATAGGGCTGTAGTAATAGTCGGTAGGGTAAGATCAGATATCACGCTAGTGTCCTAGTGGCCGACGCTGTCTGTGCCATGGAATCCGGTTGGGGGCCGGCACTCACTGGCGAGACCTCCTAAATCTGCCGAGTTTTTATATTGTAAAGCTTACTCACAGTGCCGGAACCAGCGGAGCTTTCCTAGTATCCCTTTTGGGTTGTTTAAAGGAATTTTTTCAAGTTCATCACAGTCCAGAGGCTTCTCCGTTTAAGAAACATCCGCGCAAAACAATAGGCCTATGTTCTCAAGAGCCTAGGAGACCTTGGCTCTAAAGGAAGAGGAAATAGGAATCCGACCAGCACAGGTCTCCTGGCCGTGCCCCCATGGGAATGAATGGTGGCTCTGTCTCGGCCAACTTAAAATTTTTCTTTGAACAACCAACCCGCCACCCCAGAAGCTATAATCACAAAGCAGTACCGGTCCGCGCGAATCACCCGTTGACCCTGGCAATACCGGTAGTTTATTTCCCTCGCTCTATCAAAAGAAAAAACTGGGGCCCCCACTCAGATGCGGCGGTACTCCAGTATCTCTGGGAAAGACACGAACAAGAAAAAGAAAATACGAGATTCCTCCATTCTCCACTTTTTAAGCAAAAATGGGAAGAGTTCCCAAGTACTACAAACAGATCAGTGGTAAGTATTCATGCCGCTTACAAGATACAGTGAAAGACCGTTGTAACTCACGTCAATCGGGTTGTTGAATCTCAGATTCCTGTCCAGACCAGAGATATCCTGGATCTCTGATTCCTCCAAATTGAACGAATTGACATCCAAGTTCTCCAGGAGCCTATCTTGGCTGTTGCTCTTGGGGATGACGGCGAGGCCCCGTTGTGTTGACCATCTCAGCAGAACCTGTGCGGGAGTCTTGTTGTGCTTCTTGGCAATGGTGGTGATGGTGGGGTGCTCGAGGAGAGTGGGGGTATCGAAAGCCTTTTTCCAATCAAGCTCGCGGAAGCTGGCAGGGCCAAATGAGGAGTACCCCGTTATGGCAATCCCCTCGGATTTGGCGAGGCGGATAAGATCGTGCTGAACGAGGTACGGATGTTGCTCAATCTGTAGGGTAGCGGGCCGGATGCGGCAATAGCGAAGCAAGTCAAGGATCAGGGCACCCTGGAAATTTGAGATACCAACATTCCTAACTAGACCCTCATCGACAAGCTCCTCCATCGCCTGCCAGGTCTCCTGAATTGATGCTTTGATAGGCTTGAGGGAGCCGTCTGGTGTTCTCCAGCCGCTTGGGTAGCTGACGGCAGGATCAACATATTCAAGGGCAACAGCTATCAGACCAACGTCAGCTGACCGCATCGAGGCATAGACAATCTTCGAGAATGGGGACATACGGAAATGAATAAGGAAAAGATCGAAGTATTCTAGGCCCCACCATTCCAACTGCGTTTTGGTGATGGGCTTGACACGCTCCCTCTCGTGGAAGGTGTTCCAGAGCTTAGACACGATGAAAAGGTCTTCACGCTTTACGAGCCCCTCATCGATTGCACGCTTCACACCCTGGCCAGCCTCCTTCTCGTTTCCGTAATCTGTTCCGCACATATCAGCCCTGCAGCCAAAAGAGGGGTAAAGGGGAAAAGTACCAAAGGCACCATCGAACAGTCTGTAACCGGTCTTGATTGCGTTATAAACAGTGTCGGCACAGGTCTTATTGGTGACCTTCCAAAGGCCAAAGCCGACCAGAGGCATCTCCTGCCCAGTAGGTTGAAGTTTGACAGTAGGAACGTTCACCATTTTGAATGATGGCGAAGGTTGCAATGAAGAATGCTTTGCTGATAATCGAGTTTTCACTCTTGATGATGTCAGAGATGGCACTAGTCGCGGGGGGGGGGGGGGTCTATAGAAATTGGCTACTGCCGGTGCCTGGGGGTGTGGTGGGGCAGGCAGAGGATACAAAGATGTGAACAGATGTAGGAGGGAGTGAAGCAGCGGAGAGGGCTTATTATATACAAGTCCCTATTCATAGGTTTGAACCTAGTACACAGAAACCTTGGAAATTTAGGTGAACCGGTAAATTATGTAAAATATTAGGGGGTGTTTGGCACGCCGTTATTTTTTGAGATAATTATGATTTCAAATCATGTTTTGTAAACATGTGTACAAACAACCAACAACCCTTATTTGAACACATGATCATGCCAAACAGTACTATCGTTTCTAAAACATGTTTTGAGAATAAGGTTTTGTTAACCATGTATTAGCTGGTTAAATTTATTATTAGCAATATGTTAACTAAATAATATGTAAAGAAGTGAAAGATTTTCATAATTAATCTATGCATACTATATGAAATTTTTTAAACTCAATTCTCAACCACAATTTTTTGCAGTACTACAGTAAAAACAAACTACAACAATCTACATACCTATTATGTCTACTGGCTATAAAGATAATGAAATCATTGATGTACTACAAGCTACTGCTACTGCTAGGTTGGATAGTATGATATCAGATCCTTAATACAATATCTCCAAGTTTTACAATCCTATCCTTAACTCTCTATAAGTATTTATATTCTTCTATTACTTTTTATCTAATACCCTCTACGAAAATGTTAACTGACTATTCATATGAAATATATAAATTATTGTATATATTAATTGTGGAATTGATTTTTTAGTAATCATCATGATAGTAAAATATTTTTATATTATTAATTTTTCAAAACATGGTTTGTAATAATGGTTGTATCATGTTTACAAACAATGGCATGCCAAACCCCATTGTTATTACAAAACATGATTTGGCCCAAAACATGTTTTGAAATCAAGATTATTTCAAATAACAGCATGCCAAACACCTCCTTAGGTGTAGAACCTATCTGGATCCAATGAAGAGCAAATCAACGATATCCAGAGCGACTGCCGCAGCTCGCACAGACGATAAGGTGCCCACAGTGGGCCCTCCCGGTTTCTTTCCTGGCCGCGGAGGTACAGTACCGTACCGGTATTTTTGGCAGGCCGGACCCCTCAATGGTCGGAGGCTTAGAGACACCAACAGCAATCCCATGAGCCTATCCATGGCAATCTATGTTACATTTCCCACTGTTTGCCTGGGTGTTAATAGAATAGATCTGTTATACGGGGGGCGGGAGCATACCCGAAAGTCGGGCTACGGCCATGACTAAAGACTGAAAGTAACAAATTGATGGAGGTCGCAGTCCAATGCACCAAAAATCAAGGTTTCTCCCGAAAAGAGCGAATCCTAAAAAAAAAAAAAAAGCGAGATGCAAGGCAATATTAATAACAACAGTTTTTTTTTTTCGGATGCTGATCCGTAGTGACCCCATCGATCATCTCATCGTTCCCTGCTTTGAAAAGTGGTCAAGAGATTTCCCCACCGGGGAGGAGACCGGGGTTGTTTGACTTTTCCTATTACCCCCGTACTATGCCCCATTCAGCCAGAACCCCACTACTGCTGTGACGCCCACATTTTGGGTGGAGACTCTCATAGCATGCGAGAAGCTTCCACAATAAGTCCAAAATATGAGGAACTATCCCCCTTGTCTAGGCATGAACACACCGATCCAGCATATCCATGTCCCGTGCAGTGATGTGCTTGAGTACTCAAGTACAAACAACTGGCTAATGCATTGCCAGCCATCCGAAGCGCCCATGCAGATTCGATAAAGTGCCTGACCCAATAGCGATGTTGCCTGGTTTCCCAGAAGGGTAGCCATACTTCTTGTTGCTAAGCCTTTCTGCGGGTAATTGTAGTGGCACCGGTACTCTTTGTAGAGATCGTTACCCCCTACGGGCATCGCACTTCAACTGCGTTCGGTCTCTTTCGCTCACACGACATCACCCAGTCTAAGCCTTTGGCCAATGTGCGAATTTGCCAATTAGGTATTGGCGGAATCTAGATACCTTCACTCAATATACCACCTTCAGCGGCAGGAGCTCGCAGCGCCGCGAGACTGGGGCCAGGTTAAATATCAACTATAGCCGCCATACTTGCCTCCTAGCCAGTTCCTTAAGGTCAGCCATTTGAAAAGAGCTAGGCTTATTCAATAGAGCCATAGGATGATATCTCAGACACGAGCGGGGGGTTTTCGTACTGCGCAGCCCAAAAGATAGCTTTGGAAACATTCCGGTCTCCGATGGGGGGCAGTCCCATCGATCCTGTTAGAGGTGCAGGTAGCACAGTGATATTTAAGCATAATGTTTCTTCCGGACTCCTGGGGGTGTGCTGAGATCCATTCTTGCAGCCGGGAGGAATGACGAGATCAACCAGGCACCGTGCATACGACCACTCAAGTGGTGAGGTCGATATATATACCGAGCAGGTGATAGGAAAAGGCGATCACCTGTGGGAGGGAAAAAAGGAGCCAAGGCACGGCTAGACGGCCCTGTCAGTTGATCTGGGGTATATGTAAGGTTGAGCGCAAGCTATGCTCTAAAGGAGCTCAGATGACGCGAGAGTCTACCCAATCCCGATTCTGCAAGTTACCATATCCAACATACAAGTACTATATCATTACCCATATATAGAAGTACCGGTACAGGTAACCCAAGGAATCTTGTGCGAAGCAGACATTAGATGACTTGCCGTGAACATTTAGAATATCCTGCTGGACTCATATACTGCACTCGAGTACAGTACCGGTAGGCTACGGGTACAGTGTATCTTTGCGTCGGCAGTCTACTACCGAAAATTCCACGTATGATATAAAAGTTGAGCCCTTGCATTGAAGTATTACTCTCCCCCCCCCCCCCAATTCAGTGCGGGGTGAAAATCCCAAAACTTGCTGTGTTTTCGATGGCTGGAAACTAGAAATCTACCGTAGTGATCTACGCTTAAGGGAAATCACCGATTGCGCAATACAATTCACACGACCCCACATTTTTGCCAAGTAAAAAGCAAAGATGTTGGTAGGCATCGCGGTGGAGATAATATCGTGATCACGATTCATACGCTTCCACCGGTGAAGAAAATTCTGCTCGAGCAGATAGGCTCTGGGGAGGGGGCTTGGATAGTCCACTTCCTTCAAAAGTACTCCTTACTAATGAACAGCAAAATGTATTCAAGCATCAGCCTTTGCGAGATCCCCCCGGGCCGCCATTCTTGGTGCGCTAATATGGGATATAGAAAGCATACTCTAAAGCTTCCAAGCCATCATAAACACTGCCAGCCCCCAGAGCAGCTATGGTATGGTAGAAAGAAACCACGAATCCTGCATAACAAAAGGTCCGTTTCTGCAAGCATAAGCACCCCACTACAATGAAACCCCAGCTCCGCAGGAGAAACCCTCCCACATCATCATAAGAGAAAATCCAAAGCGGAATACCAATTGACATGCACTTCTCCAGCACGCGTACCAACAGCCAAGACCATACATACACACAGAATCCCACTCCACTCACTCACGCATGCCCTACGGTATGATACGCTTCACTTTCCCCCTTCCTAACCACACCTCTTAAAGCCCATTCATTCCTCCCCGACTAAACAACCTCCGCACCCCAACCGCCACGGAGGCACACGGGGGGTTGGGGGACGGGGCCAAAAAAAAAAAAAGAATGCAAACTAAGAATGCAGCCAGCGCTGCTCGTAACCCATCTAGGAAGGGCCCTTGGCATTCCTGTATGTACGACACCATCTTCATGGCCTATCATGCCACTTCCTGGACTCCTACCCCAAAGATCTGACTGAACCTCTGTACTCGAGTACCCTCGGCCGCTCGTGTGCTGCTAGTGCCCGACATTCCTAAAGCCCAAGGCTGAATATGCCTAGGTGGCTATATCAATTCTGGTGCTCTACAGGAACTGAGAGTCCCTAGATGCTAGAGGGGGTAGGAGTTGTTTGGGATTGTGAGGAGAGTGCTATATTATCTAGATGGGATGGAATGCGGTGGCTTTAATCAGGAAATTAAATGCCTAGGCACAGTATGGTACGTCCTTTTCCCACCAGCCATTCTAGGTACCATCAGTATCATACTCGCTGCAGTTGCCGCCAATATTTATTCGTTTTCTTCCCGTGGGCGCTCCAGGAACCATCGTGAAGGGGTGAGTAATGATAATTTGTTCCAGGTCTACTTTATCGGAAAACCTTTTTCGAAAACGGGTGCTTCGCGCATCCTTCATCCCGTAGTATTATTCCCTGCCCGAATTTCTTCCCGCCCCCAAGCTCCTCCCCTCCGGCCTAGCAGGTTTAGGCTATGCCACCAATCCCGGGCATATGTTCTCGGAATCCTAACCAACCAATAATCCGGTCAGGATATAGACTATTCACAGGCCAATAAAGCACCCTGAACAAACGTGACCTCAGTGCCGACTAATTCATTGGTAAACGACCATTGACGGCCGTTTTCGGGGAAACCAGCAGCACACATGTCTAGACACTCATCCACCCCTACCGAAAACCCGGCCGGCCTGTCCCCCGCTAGGTAGGAATCATCCGATAGAGCTGTGATCCCCATTGGGGTGGTGGTTAGAAAATCCTCTGGGTGTTAAAGCCGAGCTGTATTTTCCTGGCAAAGTATGACACTCCAGCTGTGATGCAGATGCCCCCCACCATACGCCATGGGATGCCGGCAGTTGGCTTTTATTGTCAGGAACTACGCCGTATCATGGTTCGTTGGATGCCTTGGTGATTTCTCCTATTTAACTTTATGGGGAGGGGAGGTTTGGCGGACGTAGGTGCCGGGTATACGGATCGTGGTTGGGGTTGGTGGGGTGTGATACCTGTATTTGGCACTGTTGCTTCTGGAGGTTTAGAGGGCTGGTTAGCCCCGGCGATGGTTAACTTATGTCCAGGTTTGAGGTTTAGCGCGGTGTGGGTACAGTATGGTACTATACGATAAGGTCGGGCGGTATGTTTGTAGGTTTTCAATCCACGAGGATCTGCTCGACGAAGGTTTGTTCCCCTGTTCTTAGTGGAGAGCTAGTTCGGCAAATATCATCACTTCTCAAGCCTCCAACCTCCCCATTCGATCATTAGCCGGCAGTCCTACTTCACCGCAGACGGCAGCCCAATTCCAACATCCCCAACCCGCACGCACCCAGATGGACCTTCTCTGCTTTTGTCTCAATTATATATTCAGCAGCCCGATGTACACAAGTAAACCCCCTACCCAGCACCAATCACCCACATTCCAACCGTTTTAGAAAAAGAGAGCCCGAGAAAAGAAAAAAAGAATACCGATCAATCTTAAACCGCCCATTTCCTGCTAATCTTGGCAATGACTACAATAGCAACAGTAGTAAGCCACTAGGTTCACGAAAAGAGAAAAAACTCCCAAGATACCAAGCATAAGGGCTTACCGTGCATAGCAACAACACTGAAGATAAAGCCCAAGCTGAGGACCAAAACGACAACAGGATCAACCTTGAGTCCGGGAGATTCATCGGTGTAGAGCTCTAAAAATAAAAAAATAAAAAACTAATTAGCACACTGCCAACCACCAGCACTTTCACGCCCTTTTCATCGGGAAGGAAGAAAGGAAGGAAGAGAACAAACGTACTCAACATAGTGCTAGAGCTGCCTCCAGCTCCAGCAGCTCTGGTGCTGGCCGGACGGGCATTTGCCGCCTGCGCGGCTCTGTCAGCGGCATTTCGTCGGCGGATGGCGGTCTTGGGTCCACCAGGGGGAGTAGGCGATGAAGGTCTAGCTGAGCGAGCACCACCTTCAGATCCGGAGGCGGCGGCGGTAGGGGAAGTCGCGCGAGGGGAGGAAGACTGTAACGTGGAGGACAAAAGAAAACGTCAGTATGAACCTACACCATTCCACCTAGGCTTGACAGAAGACGAGGGAAACACTACCATCTTTCTTATTTTTTCAAAAAAAAGAACACGTATTAAAGATAGATAGACGGAGAGAGAACGATCGGACTATGAGAGTAGCAAAGAAATGAGTCGAAGGGAGCTTGTGCGTGGGAATGTGGTACTGAAGAGAAACCGGAGGAATTTGAGGTGGTGGTTGTCGGCTGCAAAAGGGGCCTTGGGCGTTGGAGAGGACACATCTCGACTCTTTTTCGGGGCAACGTGTGATGCCCAGACTTTTTTGATGACAACGACAAGGGTGGATGAAGGCTTGTTAGGAAATGATCAATGAACGGAATTCGAATGGGTGAACTTGTCGCACAGTTTCTATGATCGGGTATTTTTCTTAACTAAGGGTCATCTATGAGGTCGGTTTATCGCCAGCTATTTATTCTCTGGTTTTTGTATGATAAAAGTTCCACTTGTAGCTTCAAAAAGAGCCCAGGGGCACAGCATCAGTACAGGATGCCCAAGAAGTGTGTGTAATCTGGTTAAGACATAATTTATAGATGATTGCATAGAGTGATAGTATGGTACGGCACTTCCTCCTCAAACAAGGCCTACGCCGTGAACCCACTCCAGTTCCCCAGCATCCAAAAATCACGGCCACAGCCCTGTGTCGAGGGCACCCTCCTCGAGGAATCACTTCACCACGCAATCTCTCTATATAGTACTGAACGCTTATCTCAAAAGTGCGATCTAATCATCGGATAACCCATCTAATCTGATGACTTATTCATACCCTAACACCTACCACTCAAAAGGAAAGTAGCATCATATCATAGCCCGCCAGCGGGAAGGGGGAGGGCGTGGAGGGTGCGCAGGAAAGAGGGAAAAGAATCGACATATATCATGACTTAGTCAGTAAAGGTGGAGAATGCTTCTCCCAAGATCCACCCATCCATTGACTTGGGGGTGGGGCTAAGAAGTCTCAGACCAAAAAAAGAAAAGATTGCGAAATTCCTCGAGGTCTCGAGGGGCCTAGCTAGTAGTATTGTACGAGTACGGAGTACAGAAGCGGTAGGAACCACAGCGACCCCCGCAACCCCAACATTCCCTCCAATAGCGAAATTCTTACTCAGCTACCTGTTTGAATTTGGGGTATGCTACTGATATGTAAACGCCCAGGCCCGAGTCGAACAACCGACAACACATCAGCGATGCAATGATATTACTATGCCAGAAGTTTAGTGCATCCGGCGGGGGGGGGCCGTAGTCCGTGAGTCTAAGAGCTGGACTGCTATTACGAAGGACAAGAATCGCTATAGTACCGGCTTTCGCGGGCGTGGGGTGATATGATCTAAACGGGTATGCAATTTATTGACGGATTTTCTTCCCCCCAATGATCCACCCGCAATTAGCTACCAAGTCAAGGTATCATTATCAGTAGTATCGTACCTCCCTGTGCAAAAGGTTGGTAGGGTATCCGATTTACCACAACTTAAAGTTACCGGCATCATGAAGACAAATCTCACTTGTCGAGTTAGTGCCCTCCCCTGGATTACCACAACTCCGGATTCTACACAATAATCCCACATCAAGCCGCGAAAACTCCAAACGTGCAGCCTAACTCCCAAAACCCGTATTCTCGTCCTCTAATTTCGTATCATTTGGTTAAACTTGGAGGCCCTCTTAGGAGGTAGGGTCTCCCCCGAGTCAAAAAAAAAAAAAATCAAAGTCTGAAAAATATAAAAAAATATAAAAAGAGGCAAGGCCAGCCCAATACGGTACAGTTACTCCCGTGACATCAACAAAAAACCCGCCGGGACCAGAGGATAATAAGCGGACAGCGCTGAACGTAAATGAGGAAAAGAAAAGAGAAGAAACAAAGACAGGACACTAATCCCTCACCAGTCTACCATGGAAAAGGCTCCGCCTCAACTTCCTCTCATTCCCCTCTTCCGTCCACCTGTGATTTTTTCTTCCTCATTCATCCCTTCAAAAGCCCGTCCATGCTGAGTTCTGTAGTCGCGTGAAAAGAAAGGACGGCGGGCCAAAAAAAATTCTCATTTTTTTCAAACTTTTTATTGTTTTGAAAAACTGTCCCCGATGACAAGTTGTATGTATTTATGTTCATAGAATCACAACCACCCGAGGACCCGAAGAAAACAAGAGAAAACACAACACCCCTATAACAACGACTCCACACTAATGAAAGGTGCTTGGCCTCTTGGCTGAAAAGACTTTGGTGCCAACGGCCCTGGGCACACGGTGAGGGAGAGGGAATTTCAGACCCTTGGTGATGAGCTGCTTAAGGTATGGGCGCCTGACATCTGCGGCCTTCTCAATCTCGACGACCTTGAGGATCTAAATCCCGGGAAAAGATAACACATTAGATCTCTGTCAAAATAAATTCCTACGGGAGGGATCCGTGACTCACATGGATCGACCGGAAACGAGCACGGTGTCTGGCGGCCATATCCTGATAGAGGGACTGGACGGCATCGGTGCGGGAAAGTTCACGATACTCCTTGTACATGTTGTGAGTTCCGCTGCGGGAGTCGTAGCGGATCCAGATTCCAAAGTTCTTGACTTTCTGAGGACGCTTCTCATGGATCTGTCCCCCCGTATAACCCTTCTCAGTCACCCGTTCCCACAATCCCTTTTTTTATTGGATGATTCCCGACATACCACATTCAAAGACACAATCTCACCAGCGCTCTTTTTGACCTTCCTGAGCTTCTTAAGGAAATACCAGAAGCGGGATTTAGCGACGACAGTGTTGGGGGCGAAGAGGCGCATGCGGTACAGCTTTGGAGTCGGATCCGCATCTGAGGGGAGTTTGCGGCCGATGACCTGATATTCCGACAGGCGACCTGTAGAAAGAAAGAAAAGGCGTTAGCGCAGGGTGAACCGGAGGGCATAGTTGTAAACTGAAAACCGAGGTTTTGGAGAAAGTTTTAGTCGGAACATGCGTAGAGGCCATCGGAAGATTGGGGGGGCGATATGCAAATAAGCAGAGGGGGAAAGCCAGCAGAGCCTTTCCAATGGAGCCATTGCACATAGATATGTATGGAACCTCGCCCCTTGATCAATTGCCCATGGATAACTTCTCTGCTTAGCTCCCGCTGGTTGCTTCTGCCCCCCCCCCCCCTCTCCAACATGTGTACCTCTAGCATCCTCAGCCTCCAACCCGTCCACCGCAATCTCTCCCTCGTTCCTCCCTCCCCCCTTACGGCCCAGAAGAGAATGTATTAGGGGAAAGTGAAAGCATGTGAAACGCACCCATTCTGTTTTCGCGATTATGTATTAGCTGATGTATGGGAAAAGGAAAAAATTTAGAAGATAAAGAACGTAAGAACAAAACAGTTTTTTTTTTTCTTTTTTTCTGGCCACTCACGTTGAATTATCGTCGGTTGAAGGTCGGTTGGGGATCGGTTGGGGGTCGGTTGGTGTGTCGTCTGGTTGTCGGAGATAGTTGTTGCTGGTCGTGGTCGTCACTTTTTCCTTTGGTGTTTCGGACGGGTCAAAACCACCCATTGTACAACGATGGTGAGGGTTGCGATGTTGTTGGTGCGGGACTGCTCAGGTTAGGGCTAACCCTGGAACGCGCTAGCGCGCAATCCCTAATCTGCGCGAATCGTCACAGGCCAAACCACTGTCGTGCCACGCGCAGGCTGTGTCTTGTTTGGCTTTTCATAGGGGTGTAGAGCGATTAGTCTATCTGGAGTCCGAGTTACCGGTATTACCATATTTTTATTTGATCCCTCTAGAGTTGATTACCGGTATGATACTAACTTCGTTTGCGCCGACGGAAATCCATTCCATGATATCATACCAGGACGGCAGCGTTTATTACCTTGAAGGAGCTAGCTAGGGTTTGGGCTTATTCGGCATTGTTGCCCGCATGCAAGTAAATTTAGATAGGGTACTTCTCCGGGGGCGATACCGGTACAAATTACTCGTGTACAAGAGTGGTGCTCGGTAGAAAATACTGTCACAATACAACACTTCCAGCGAACACTCGGAAGCCCGTCATGCCATCGTTGCGTAGTACCAGGTGTGATGATCGATGGGAGGCCAATTTGGCTCTTATATGATACGACCAAGCATTGAAATTCGCAATTTCGAAATTCCGTAAAACTGGAAAAAGCACGCCTAAGGCCAAACCCCATCACCTCCGATCACTCGCCGCAGTTTCGGTCCCAGCAGCGGGACAGCGATGCCCGCTCTTCTCTTGTGCCCGATTGCTTCGGCTAGTTCCGGAGCACACAGCAATTAGTATCTTTTCCCCAGCTAAGAGTTATGTCCACGAGCTCCATAAGGCACACCGAGAGTATCCTGGTTGATGGCTCGCATTCTGAAAGGGAAAGACTGTGGCGAAGGTTGGTAAATCAAATGTATTAGTAAATTTGGGAAGGTATCTCGGCGTCATACTCCCTACCCAAGCACACACAGCTGCTGAGAGGGAATAACTGGTCGGCCTACTTCACGTTCGCCCGGTCAAGATCAATCCACCAGTCTGGGCTGAGAACCTCTGAGTGGCGGAAGTAGCCCGGGTGGCGGGCTGTAGGATAAGCAGCAGTGGGTGCTTCTACCTCTATCGCCACAGGAAATCCAACATTTCTTTATCGGCGTTGAAGAGGCTTTAGATTTTGCCGACCGGACTCTTGTGCGCGTTGAGTGTGCGGCGGTGGTAGATCGAGGGGCCCAATAGGAATGTTGTATTCTTGTCGGGGGCTGTAATCGGGGCCGAGCACCATCGGGATGTGTATCGAAGGGTTAGCGACCTTAACCAAAAGGGTTCCGGAATTAGCGCGCAGGTTTTCTGGTGGAAGGCTCCTGATACCCTTCATAGGGAGCGTAGTTAGGGGGAAGTTCTTTCTCGTAGTTTTAGATGGGACAGGCATATAAACTTATTAGCATGACAGTTATGGGTGGATCTGGAGTACTGATGCTCTTTCTTTGTTACTCTATCCGAATATAGTCAAAATTCTGGATCCTCTTGGCTATTAACTCTTTAGGTACAAGCCAGATGGCCATTCCCCGAAGAATTGGAAAGTGCCTTTGGCATCGCCGTAGATTCCCTTCCACGATTATCCTGGGCGGAAGGAAACCTCCCAAAAATCAGCTCTTTTAGCACAGGCTAAGAAGCTATGCTAGCTGACTAATTTTTATCCCAACTTTTGGTAATGTCTACAAAGTCCCACTTTTTCTACTCCGCCTGTTACCATAGTGGACGGGGCTGTCGTACGGGTAGCGGTCCCGAATTCTTGGTTGCGAAATCCCCCTTACTCCATAGCTTTGCTCTCTGCTCCTTCCGCGGACCTTAAAGATCCTTCCCTGGTAACTGCATGGACCTAAGGGATCCTGAATGCAGGTATGATATAGTGAGCAGCATTCAACTCCCGTTTTGGACATTCTTGAGGCGAAACGGCGATATAACCTCCCACGGGACGTTAGTGTTGTATCAGCATATTCATCTGGTGTTTAGCGGGTGGGCCTCGCGGATTCTCCGCCCCCCGAAGCGAGTCCGGATGTGAAAAGGCCAAAGAGTGAGAATAATGGCATGTACCGGTATTGCTGTAGCCGGGAGAGACACGAGAGTGGACACGCAGTGAACTGATGCGAGTCACTCGACCTTTGGATTACCTTGAGTCTACTTGAACTGGTGGCGTGTAACCACCCGACAGAGCCTATGTTGGCTAGAGGTTAGGGGTAGCCCTATGCCCTACTTCTGCGCAGCGCATAATACTACCGTATACTCGAGTATAGGTATCATATCATACTCGAGCACTATATTCGGGCTTTGGTTAGCATTGTGTATTGGGGCCCGGGGTTGTGGTGCTCGAATCGGGCAGTGAGTCCGCGGCTTAGGGGGCTCTTGTTTTGTAGTTTGATAAACGAAAAATTGGTGTGCAGGGTTGACGTGATTAATCTTTCAGAGAGCGCTGTCTGAGGCCCCAGGAACGTGGGCGGAAGTATATAGTAGCACAAATGAGCCACCCCCACCCCGCCATCTGTATCGATTAGCATGGTCCATCATACAGGCACCGGTAGGGTACATACCGTACCGGTATCGTTGCTAGGGATTAGGATCTCACTCGTGATGTCATACCGGCCCAGAAATCTGCACTCTAAACCGATCTGAGGTGAACGGGGAACCACGGTACCGAATAGGGATGGCAGTGTGCACGGAGCGCCCAATGACAACTTGAAGTGATCGGGGATTGAGCCCAAACTTGTCTGTTCACTGCTCGAGTATTGGACTGCTGCGATCGAGGGTACGATAGCGGTACAACTCTACGAGTACTCTATAGGCCGTTATTAAGACCATGGGCTTGGGCTACTCTCGAACGAGTCCGGGAGCAATAAGCAAGGAGGACTTCGGACTCGACCGGCCAGTTGCGAGCAGTTTCTGATACCATTTCCGGGAGCGCAAACGCTCAGGACTAGCGCCGCAGGTCATCACCGTCGAGGAGGAATACCAGTGGCCACAGAGAAGGGTGAAGAAATATGCTTAGGTAGCTCGGAACCCTACCCGAGTGCCTATAGATGAGATGATTCCTCGGCGGCGGCGGTGAACAGCAGAACTCGGCGCGCCGGCGCGCCACGGGGAAGGTGTTCCGAGTGGTGACGGGGCTCCAGATCACAACTCCGTGTCCCAACCTGGAACTTACCGAATGCAACATTCTCGTCGCGTTTTCCCCGCAATCCTTCCCAAACACGTTCGGCTGGGCCTCTCGTCCCACCTCTCATACTACATACCAACACCAACACCACCACCACCACCACCACCACCACCACCCAACACAGTATAACCATCACTAAAATCTAACACCTTTATCATGACCACACTCTAGTGAGTGAACCCCTTCCCCCTATTCGACAGATTCTGCTACCACTGCCCCCCCGCCGCATCGAACCTAACACCAACGAAACAGTAAATCATTTCGCAGGGCATTGACCACCAAAGACGGTGCTCTACTCGGCTGTATCTTTTCCTTGGAAAATCCGGACCGTGGGACATATGCTTTCTCTACAAATCACGAGAGGATTCGCGGTGACGTCGAATACGAAATCTCTGGCCTGACCCACCTACGCGATGAGAATACTAGGGCTGCTTGGGTCGACACCTTGGTCACCTACTGGAAGATAGCATACATTCTGGAGCGGGACGATGTGGCAGATGTGAGTTGGTCGAAGGCTTACGAGGGGCAGAAGGATCTTTTACTGTTGGTCCCCATCTCCCCTTCAAAGTTTAATGCCCTTTTATAGCTGACGGATGACCTGATATTCTTGCGGGGGAAAAGAGCTATGGTTAGGGGTTATACGAAGGGAAACTGGCCGCATTGGACACTTCCCGTTATGTACCAGATTTGCCTATCTTTGAGAACCGTCGCTATATCATCGGATGACCAAGCCCGAAGTCTTGGGAAGGCCCCGGAACACCTTGAGGATGCGGCGAGGTATATTAACAAGGCTTTTACGTTATGTATCAGCGACCGGTACGTTCACATCTTGGTGCGTTTTTTGAGGGGCGGAAGGCCAACCAACTAATGCCGCCATAGCGCTCCTATTGAGGAATCGAGGAAATGGGGGACTTACTATATTGTTAACCTGATGTTCAAAACTTACTTCAAGGTATACGTCTTTACGTGGTTATTGATAGGCTGATGATACTTACAATTGACTAGTTGAATTCTGTTGGTCTAGCAAAAAATATACTTCGCGTGCTTCCTGCTTCCCTTGCTGACATGCCACCATTGGAAGCATTTCCTAAAAGTCACATTGTCACCTTTAAATACTACTGTGGAGTTGTCAGCTTCTTAGAAGAGGACTACGGGAATGTACGTCGCTCCTGCAGTCGCCCCTCCCCCGCATTATAGCGATCCCGATTCTAACACCTCACTGTAGGCAGAAACACACCTAACCTATGCTCTAAACCACTGCAAAGCTGATTCCATCCGCAACAAAGAGTACCCCCTCCCCCAATACCTGCCTGCAATTACTCGACTAAAACACACCAGACTAATCCTAACCTACTTGATCCCCACAACAATGCTAACAAAGCACAAACTCCCGACCCCGGAACTCCTATCCCGTTTCCCCCGCCTGGCAGCACTCTTCAACCCGGTTTGCAAAACCATTAAATCCGGCAACCTCCAAGCTTTCGATGCTGCCCTCCGTCACGGCGAAGAGGAATTCGTAAGGCGTAGAATTTACCTCACCTTGGAGCGAACGAAGGACATCGCCATGCGGAACCTCTTCCGTAAAGTCGTCCTGTACCAGAACGAGGAGAATAGGACTAAGATCCCAGTGAGGCAGTTTCAGATCGCCATGGGGTGTGCCGGTCGAGGAGAAGAGCTGGGGGCTGGCGGATATTGGGGCGGCAATGATGGCAACGATGATGGTGAGCATGGGGAGGTGGAGGTGGACGGTGACACGGTTATGCGGTCGACGCCAGAGAGGGTCGAAGTTGAAGTTGAGGAGGTGGAGTGTTTACTGGCTAATATGATTTATAAGGGCCTTATGAAAGGCTATATCTCCCGCGAGAGGCAGACCGTCGTACTGAGTGGGAAAGAGCCGTTTCCTGGGACCGTAGTGTGATTTACTGGCGGGATGTGAACTTTACCGCTTTGGCCGGGGGGGGGGGGTGGGGGGTACAATCTCCCTCAGTCGCGTTCGGTTGGGGTTTTAGTTAAGGGTGTATTATAGTGCGTGTCGTTTAGTTTTTTTCTTTTTTTGCTTCTCTG